TGCTCCCAGCACTGCTTTCTTGGTGGTTTGAGGTGCCCCCTCTCTGCTCGCTTCTCTCTTTTATATCTCAAAAGAGATTGGCTTAAGACACTATCCAATCTTGTATACCTCATCAGTATGACTGTCGCTAATCCATCTGATTAGCTCATAGTGATTGAATTTACAACTCATAGGGAAATCACATCAGATTACAAAATGGTACACAATTATACAATACTGGGAATCGTGACCCAGCCAAGTTGACAGATATTTTGGGGGGACATAATTCAATCCATGACAGTGTCCTTCTCCAGGGACTGGTCCTTCCTGATAACATGTCCCAAGTACGTGAGATGAAGTCTCAGCATCCTTGCTTCTAAAGAGCATTCTGGCTGTACTTCTTCCAAGACAGATTTGTTCATTCTTTTGGTAGTCCGTGGTATATTCAATATTCTTCACCAACATCATAATTCAAAGGCATCAATTCTTCTTCAGTCTTCCTTATTCATTGTCCAGCTTTCCCATGTATATGAGGCGATTGAAAATACCATGACTTGGGTCAGGTGGACCTTAGTCCTCAAAGTGACAGCTTTGCTTTTCAATATTTTAAAGCAGTCTTTTTGTGGCAGGTCTACCCAATGCAATATATCATTTGATTTCTTAACTTCTGCTCCCATGGAGGCTGATTGAGAATCCAAGTAAAATGAAATCCTTGACAATTTAAGTATTTTCTCCGTTTTTCATGATGCTGCTTATTAATCCAGTTGTGAGGATTTTTGCTTTCTTTATGTTGAGATGCAATCTATACTGAAGGCTGTAGTCTTTGATCTTCATCATTAAGTGCTTCAAGTCTTCTTCACTTTCAGCAAGCAAGGTTGTGTCATCTGCATATCGCAGGTTGTTAATGAGTCTTCCTCCAATCCTGATGCCCCATTCTTCTTCATATACTCCAGCTTCTCAAATTATTTGTTCAGCATACAGATTGAATAAGTATGGTGAAAGAATACAACCCTGAAGCACACCTTTTCTGACTTTAAACCACCCAGTATCCCCTTGTTCTATTCGAATGAATGCCTCTTGGTCTATATACAAGTTCCTCATGAGCATAATTAAGTGTTCTGGGATTCCAATTCTTCACAATGTTATCCATAATTTGTTATGATCCACACCAGTGGATGCCTTTGCATAGTCAACTTTCTGGTGTTCTCTGCTTTCAGCCAAGATCCATCTGACATCAGCAATGATATCCCTTGTTCCACGTCCTCTTTGGAATCCTGCTTGAATTTCTGGCAGTTCCCTGTCAGTGTACTGCTGCAACCACTTTTGAAAGATCTTCAGCAAAATTTTACTTGATTGTGATATTAATGATATTGTTCGATAATTTCTGCATTCTGTTGGATCACCTTTCTTTGGAATGGGCACAAATATGGATCTCTTCCAGTCGGTTGGCCAGGCAGCTATCTTCCAAATTTCTTGGCATAGACAAGTGAGCACTTTCAGCATTGCACCTGTTTGTTGAAACATCTCATTTGGTATTCTGTCAATTCCTGAAGCCTTGATTTTCACCAATGACTTCAGTGCAGCTTGGACTTCTTCCTTCAATACCATCAGTTCTTGATCATATGCTACCTCCTGAAATGGTTGAATGTCGACCAGTTCTTTCTGGTATAGTGACTCTGTGTACTCCTTCCATCTTCTTTTGATGCTTCTTGTGTCCTTCAGTATTATGCCCCTAGAATCCTGCACTACTGAAATTTGAGGCTTGAATTTTTTCTTCAGTTCTTTCAGCTTGAGAAATGCCAAATGTGTTCTTCCTTGTTGGTTTTCTAACTCCAGGTCTTTACACATTTCATTATAATACTTTAGTTTGTCTTCTCCAGCCACCCTTTGAAATTTCAGTTCCTTTACTTCCTCATTTCTTCCATTCACTTTAGCTATTCTGTATTCAAGAGCAAGTTCTGAAGTCTCTTTTGACATCCATTTTGGACTTTTCTTCCTTTCCTGTCTTTTTAATGACATCTTGATTTCTTCATGTATGATGTCCTTGATGTCATTCCACAACTGGTCTGGTCTTCAGTCATTAGTGTTCAGTGCATCAAATTTATACTTAAGATAGTCTCTAAAGTCAGTGGGATATGCTTAAGGTCTAAAGGTCATATTTCGGCTCTCATGAATCTTCTCTAATTTTCTTTAGCTTCAACTTGAACTTGCATATGAGAAATTGATGGTCTGTTATGCAGTCAGCCCTTGGCCTTGCTCAGACTGATAATATTTTTTCCATCGTCTCTTTCCACAGATATAGTTGATTTGATTCCCGTGTATTCCATTTGGTGCGGTCTACACGTACAGTTGCTGTTTATGTTGTTGAAAAAAGGTATTTGCAATGAATAAGTTGCTAGTCTTGCAAAATTCTATTATATGATCTCTGGTGTCATTTCTGTCACCATGGCCATATTTTCCAACTACTGATCTTTCTTTCCAATTTTCACATTCTAATCACCAGTAATTATCAATACATCTTGATTACATGTTTGATCAATTTCAGACTGCAGAAGTTGGTAAAAATCTTCAATGTCTTCATCTTTGGCCTTAGTGGTCGGTGTGTAAATTTAAATAATAGTCGTATTAATTGGTCTTCCTTGTAGATGTTATATATATGTTATATAGATGTTATCCTAACACTGACAGCATTATAACTTCAGGATAGATCTTGAAATGTTCTTTTTGACAATGAATGCGATGCCATTCCTCTTCAGTTTGTCATTCCCAGCATAGTAGACCATATGATTGTCTGATTCAAAATGGCCAATACCAGTCCATTTCAGCGTACTAATGCCTAGAATACAAATCTTTATGTGTTCCATTTCATTTTTTATGACTTCCAATTTTCCAAATTCATACTTCGTACATTTGATGTTCTGATTATTAATGGATGTTTGCAGCTGTTTCTTCTCATTTTGAGTCGTGCCACATCAGCAGAAGAGGTCCTGAAAGCTTGGCTCCATCCACATCATTAAGGTCAACTCTACTTTGAGGAGGCAGCTCTTCCCTAGTTGTATTTTGAGTGCCTTCCAATCTGAGGAGCTTATCTTCCTGCCCTATATCAGAGAATGTTCCATTGCTATTCATAAGGTTTCACTGGCCAATTTTTTTCAGAAGTAGACCACCAGGTCCTTCTTCCTTGTCTGTCTTAGTCTGGAAGCTCTGTTGAAATCTGTGCACCATGGATAACAGTATACGGTATATGATTAATTTCTCTGTGTTGACCTTGTATCCTGTGTCCCTACTAAACTCACCTATTAGTTCTAGGAGTGTTTTTGTTTGGTTGGTTGTTGTTTTTGGTGATTCCTTGAGTTTTTCTATGGAGACAATCATGTCTTCTGTGAATACGGACAGTTTTCTTTTTCTTTCCAGACTGTATGTCTTTTATTTCTTTTCACTGGCTAGAACTTTTACCATAATGTCAAATAGGAGTGGTGAGCATGGATATCTTTGCCTTGTTCCTGATCTTAGGGACAAAGTATTCAGTCATTCACCATTAAGTATGGTGTTAGGTGTAGGATTTTGTATATGCCCTTTATGGAGATGAGGAAGTTCTATTCTATTCCTAGCTTTCCGAGAGTTTATATCATGAATGGATGTTTGTCAAATGCTTTTTTCTGCATCAATTGATATGATCATGTGTGACTTTACTTCTTTAGACTGTTAATACGGTGGATTACTTTGATTTTCAAAGATTGAACTAGCTTTGCTTTCCCATGTTTAAAGTCCACTTGGTAATGATGTATTATTCTTTTTTATGTATTACTCTATTGAATTTGCTAATAATTTGCTGAGGATTTTTTTGGTCCATAGTTTTATTTTCTTGTACCTTCTTTGTCTGCTTTTGCTATTGGTATAAACTTTTTAAAAAGGAGTCCTGATGGAGCAAAGGACTGCTGCTAACAGAACAGGTGGTCTGAACCCATCAGCTGTTCTGTGGGAGAAAGATATGGCAGTCAAATTACATCCTTGGAAACCTATAGGGCAGTTCTACTCTGTCCTACTGGGTCACGATTAGTCGGAATCGACTCCACCGTACCCAACAACAACATTATAATCTTTTTGGAAGGCAATTTGTCTATTGTAACAAAAGTCTTTAAAATTTGTGTGCCCAAGGATTCCACTTCTAAGAATTTATCTTAAGAAAACAGAGATTCCTATTACAGCGACTTTGGATTCAGACCTAGATTTGAATATTAATTCATCACCTTACCAACTGCTTCAATTCTGTGGGTCTGTTTCCTAATCTGTAAAATGGGGATAAGAGCACCTACTTTACACACTTGTTGCATTAAAAGTCAATTCATCGCCCACACCTAGTATGCTTTGAATAAACAGCGGCTCTTGGTACTATAATGCCCAGCCTCTGTAGAAGGACAAGTCTGTCCAAGTCAGAAAACATCATCTTTACCCCCATATTAGCCCCCACTTTGTCACTTTTCAGTGAGTAGTCTCCTCATTCCTGATTCCTCTGTTTTATATTAGATGTGCTAGGGGTCGGGGACATAAAAACAAAAAATATATGGTTCCTGTCGTCAGAGAGCCGAATCTATTAGACACACACGCAAAGTAACCAGTATCATAAAATATAACGGCACTATAATGGGGCGTCTGCCCAAGGGGCAGTGGTCCTATGACACATAAAAGGTCCTTGTCGGGAGCAGGAGGGCCAGGAAGGAGGGCGGCAACTTTTCCTCCGTAGTCTCGGGGACGGGGGTGGGGGTGGGGGCAGAGTTGTCCTGCTCCCATAGCAACGGGACTAGCTATACACTTCATCCCTCACACGTCACCTTTGTTCAGCGTCTGAGGACCCAGGAAAGACCACTTCCGGCCCTCCAGCCGCGGGGTCTCGCAGATGCTCTGCTGTTACCGAAGGAGTTCCGCATCTCTGATTGGCTCAGGGGGATGAGGGGCGGGATCAGGCAGCTGGGGGCGTGGCCTCCGTTCTCCCAAGCTGGAGTTCATCCCGAAGAGCGGAAGCCGACCTCGCCCGCCCCGGAAGTGCAAACACAGTCGTCTTGCTGGTGTGGATTTTGTGGGCGACGCCGACGCTATTTAGAGATGCCGGGTGCCGCGGCGAAGGGCTCGGAGTTGTCCGAGAAGATCGAGAGCTTTGTGGAAGCCCTGAAGCGGGGCGGCGGGCGGCGCAGCTCCGAGGACATGGCTCGGGAGACCTTGGGACTACTACGGCGGATCATCACGGACCACCCCTGGAGCAACGCGGGTGAGGCAGGCCTAAGCCCACCGGCGACCCTGGCCCGTTTTCGATCGGAATCCCAAGGCTGAAGGTCGCCTTGGCCTCACCGCGCGCTTGGCGGCTCACTCTCTCTCTCTCTCGTACCGTAGGGGAGCTGATGGAGCTAATCCGCAGGGAGGGCCGGAGGATGACGGCCGCGCAGCCCTCGGAGACTACTGTGGGCAACATGGTGCGGAGAGTGCTCAAGATCATCCGGGAGGAGTATGGCAGGTCAGGCCCGCGTTTTGCATGAGTCTCTCTGCCTGCTTGGAGCCTCTTGTTATCTCCTTACGTGCACCTACTCTGCACCTCCCTCTTTGGATCTTGTTGCCCCCATAGACTCCACGGACGCAGCGACGAGAGCGATCAGCAGGAGTCCCTGCACAAGCTCTTGACATCCGGAGGCCTGAATGAGGATTTCAGCTTCCATTATGCCCAACTGCAATCCAATATCGTCGAGGCAATTAATGAGCTGCTGGTGGAGCTGGGTAAGAGTTCTTTTGATCCCTAGGTGGACAGGACAGGTAGCCAGCAGGTGAGGGAACAGAAGACCCTGAAAGTTGACCATCAGCAGAGATAAGAGACAACCAGTCATCTGGTTTTCAAAGGTTTGTCCTTTATACTTTATCAACTGTGCATCCATTGCTGGTGGAAACTATTGTTAGCATAGGGTTTTATCTTCATTTTAAATAAAATGAACTTCCTAAAACCACAGTTAGACCCTCCTGCATTAAACTTTCTCCTGAATTGTTACACACACACACCACCTCCATCCCTCTCACTTGTCTTTGTGACCCGTGAGACCTGCAAATATTCATTTCATTACAGAGTTCCTCCAGGGGAGAAAGAAGCTGGAGTTCTGTGTCCTAAGCTGCTGCTTCTGAATTCTTCCCGTTTTCTTCTCTGGCTTCTCTCTAACTCAGGTGGAGGTGTTGTGATCACCTTTTGGAGGAAGAGTTCTTTTAGGGGGAAGCTCTATTTAACCTACCCTGGGCACTTTAGGATTTTCCAGACTTGATCATTTTTTGCCAAATTCATTGTCTTCAAAATCACTTGCAAGTGGTGTCTGAACTGTAGTGGCAAAGGTTTTGATGTGGACATGGTTGATGAGCAGAGGTGCTGCTGGGAAAAAGGGCAGGCTGAGAAGTTGGGAGGCAGAAAATCCCAGAGAAGTAGAGCTTTTAAGAAACTGTGACATTTTACTTGAACTCCATTAACCCTGTGGTAGGTACCAGGGTCTGCTAGGTGGGCAGTCTGTGTGAAGGACAAACTTCCCTGTCCATACTCTGTCATGTCTGTGACCTAGCATGGCAGTTTCATATTTGGTTTGCAAAACTGACTGTGCTTGCAGAAGGGACAACGGAGAACATTGCAGCCCAGGCTCTGGAGCATATCCACTCCAATGAGGTGATCATGACCATTGGCTACTCCCGAACAGTAGAGGCCTTCCTCAGAGAGGCTGCCCGAAAGCGGAAATTCCACGTCATTGTGGCAGAGTGTGCTCCTTTCTGCCAGGTAGGGAACTGCTGGAGTTGCTAAGAGAAAGGAAAATTGAGGCGGGACTAAAGGAGGGGTGGTCGAGGTCCATGCCAACTTTTAAATGGTAAGCAAGACATCGAAATATTGAGAAGATAGAGTGAAACAGTAAAAGGATTTTCAAGTCGTTCATCCTGTGAACATACTTAAACATTGGTTTAAGAAAGTTTGGTGAACTGCTGGGTCCAAGAAAAGATAAGTATTGGTCTTTTAGGAATCAAAATGGGATAAATTAAGTTGGAGATGACTGATGCTTAGTCTAACCTCACTCAATCCCTAGGTAAATAATAGGTCTCAAAAAAGGAAATAATACGTAAAGATGCAAGATGTTTTAAAATAACAAGTCAGGAAGCTATCTCATCAGCTATGAGCTATGCCTGATTATGAAAGCAAATAGCATTTCCAGTTTTGTGGCTGCTTTGGGGTATTAGACATTTATTAGCTTCCCCTGGGCTTCCCTGCACCCTACCAGAGAATGCTTATGATAGGCCAAAAATGAGTTATCTGTTGGAAACTGTGTTCTGCATCTGCCCAGTATCACAGAAGTCCCCAGATCCAGTTACATTTAAGAGCTCTTTCACTGTCTCAGTCTTTCTCCCTGCATCAGCCTTTCCCTCCTATTGCAGGGTCATGAAATAGCCGTCAATTTGTCCAAAGCAGGTATTGAGACAACTGTCATGACTGATGCTGCCATTTTTGCTGTTATGTCAAGAGTCAACAAGGTAAGTATATTTGGAGTCTTCATTTGTATCGTTGTTCCTTACTTGCAGTAGCCTCTAAATTTGGTTAAAGTACTGAAAAAAATGTAGTAGAACTAAAGCTAAGTGTGTCAACTGCCAGGGATTGGTGAGAAGCTTCCTGCCCTATGCTCAGAGAGCCTGGCAGTGGTAGATGGCAAATGACAAAGGCTCCTGACTTCTCAGGAGGTGAGGCATGTAGGTTTCCAGAAAAGACAGGGCTAAGAGCAGTAGGTATTGCAGTTTCCTGGCCCATACTATGTGCATTCTTTCCTTGGGAACCTACTTTCAAGCTAGAACCTTTGGTACTGAGCCTAAGATCCCTTTCCCTCTTCTGGTCTGTGACCCCTTAGGACACCAGGGCTTGGGTACTGAGCCTCTTGTGCCCAGTGGCCCCTTTAAAGCTCTACCCTCAGGACGGCTCACATCTTTCTTCCTCTTCCAAAGGTAATCATTGGCACAAAGACTATCCTGGCCAACGGTGCCCTGAGAGCTGTGACAGGAACTCACACTCTAGCACTGGCAGCAAAACACCATTCCACCCCGCTCATCGTCTGTGCTCCTATGTTCAAGCTTTCCCCACAGGTATGTCTGTCTCTATGTGGTAGCCAGCAGAGGGAAGGAAGCCAAAGTATAGGCTTGAACTCTGGCCCATCAGACTACTCAATCTGGGGCCTCTTTATATCTGCATTTACTCAATGTATTAGACCCAGTAGGGGCTATGAGTCACAGAAGTCTTGACCCAGGAAAAACAATTGAGAGTTATAACTGCCAGCTTTAGGAAGTCAAAATAGTAATGTCAGGACAATACGTAGTTGGGAAAGGCCCTTTGCTTACATTGCTACCACTCCCTGTCACCCCAGACATGTCTGAAAATGCCAAGCAAGTAGAAACTAGGAACATAGAATTGTCTTACTCGTGATAGTTCAGGGCCTGTCCTTTTTAGCCTGAACACAAGCAGTTAAATGAAGCCATTTCATGTGATAGAAGCTATTTGCTTTTAGAACATGAACCTGTTTATACTTCTGTCTCTTTTTTTAACCTTTTCTTTTCTAGTTCCCCAATGAAGAAGATTCATTTCACAAATTTGTGGCTCCTGAAGAAGTCCTGCCTTTCACAGAAGGTACAGAAGTTTCATATGTGTGTGTACGTGTGTGTGTTATTTTGGTGCTCAGAAGGACTGAATGCTGTTAGGTTGTGCTTTCTTGTGGTGACCGTTCTCTTAAGCAGCTTAGAGTGCTTAGTGGCCTGAACTAGCCCGTGTTCTAAGACTAATACATTTTAGCTGAGCTGTTGGGGCCATGGGGGTTGGATCACCTAGCATTGACTGAATTTGGCTTTGCATTTTGAGACACAGGCAACAATCCACTGGAAAAATGTACTTGTTTTCAGTTGCTGTTAGGAGTCACTTTGGTGAAGTGGCTGCCAAAGGAAATGGGCTCTGAAGTGTTCCTACTTACAAAACTCACCTAATACCTGGTGTGTTGGGGGTCCTTTTCTCTGACGTCTTCTGAAGGTAGTAGCTTTGCTCAGAGAGCCTGCTGCCTCATCAGCAGTTAACCTGGACTTAAACACCCTTTGGGAGCAAAGCATAGTATTTGGAGTTCCTTCTTGGAAGTTGAATAACTTCATCCATTTATTCATTCTTTCAAGAAACACTTGTCAAGCACCCCCTGTGTATCCAGCACTATTCTAGGCACTGGGTATATAACAGTGAACAAAACGGACAAGGCTCTGCTCTCACAGTGTTTACATTTCTGTTGGGGGAAGATAGACAAGAAAATGTCAGGTCATGGGATTTAGGAAGAAAATAACAAATCGGGCTGAAGTCATGGAAAGCGGTTAGGGGGACTGCCTTAGATTAGAGAATTAGGAGGGGTCTTTCTGAGATGACATTTCAGCGGAGTCCTGAATGATAAGAGCCCGCTGTATGAAGATGGGAAAGTTTTCCAGGAGCTTGTGAAAATGGCACGAGATGGGTATATGCTTAGCCTGTTGGAAAAAGATGGCCACATGGCTAGAGAGTAACGAGCAAGGAGAAGGTGGTACAAATTGTAATTATAGTAGTGTAGTAGGGAGGGGCCAGATCTTGAAGGCTGTAATCCCAAATTTGAATTTTATTCTAAGGGCTATGGAAAGGCATTGGAGAGTTTTAAGCAGGGGGTATCATCTGAGTCATCTCTTGGTTTGCATTTTGCCACAGCTTCCCTTTTGTGGGGTAGCTGGCAGGCCTGAATTATTGAGCCTAGAGTCTTATGCTTCTTAAGTATTAGAGCAGGATCCTCAGATTGACCTTCAGTGTGTGTGCTTGCCTTCTAGGGGACATTCTGGAGAAGGTCAGCGTTCACTGCCCTGTGTTTGACTACGTCCCCCCAGAGCTCATTACCCTCTTTATCTCCAACATTGGTGGGAATGCACCTTCCTACATCTACCGCCTGATGAGCGAACTCTACCATCCTGATGATCATGTCCTATGACCACCACTTGTCCTAAGCAGAAGTTGCTTAGGCAAACACAGAATGGAGAGACCTCAGTGCTACTGCTGAAACACATCCTCCTTGTAAAAAGGGACTGAACGGGAGTCAACCTAAAAGAAACTTGATACTTTTCCTGCCTTTTCAGTCATCCCCTTAACAAGCCAGGACTGTTTTTTACCTTTCAGATCTTAACACAGCAGCAAGGCTTGACCTATTGATTTTGGAGCCTCTTAGTGACATGGTTGCATCTGCGTCAGGAGCTTAAACTTTCTGGTTCAGTGATGTGTTAAACATAACACTGAATACCTTGCTGCGGGATAGAGATTTTCGCTCAGAAATGCCTACCACACCTTTTCCTAGGCTCTGCCAATAAAAGCTACTTGAAGGTTCCTGAGTTGGTTTATTTATTGTCCTGCTCTGATTGAACTGCTTGAAATAGCAGCAGCAGCAGAGCCCTTTTCTGTTTTCATAGAGGGCTGTAATTAGAGGTAATAAGTCTAAAATACAGGAGTACAAATGACAGTATTTACAGTTTCCTTTATAATTCACTGGAAATGATCCCAAAAGACTTGTTAGGACATGGTTCCAAAACTTCTCTGATCAGAGTCACCAATGGAACTTTAAAAAAAAAAATTACAGAATCTTGGGCTCCATCCAGACCTATTGCATCGGATCACTGGGATGGTGTCTGGAAATCTGTGTGTTTAAAGCTCCCCAGAAAAGGACCCTATCATGGACTCTTAATAGGTCTATAAGTTGGGATAATCTTTTCAGAGGGCAATTTGGAACTTAAACTTCTAGAGTTACCTGTACAAGTATATAAAGAAACATACAAGAATGTTCAGTGCAGATGCTGATGTCACAGCCTAAATGTCCAACGAGAGGGAGAAAGTTAAGTATGATACTTATATTGTGGAACACTATGTATATAATGCAAAAGAAGTTTCAAAAGGATGGCTTGAGGGCTATGTCTGGATTGAACACATTTTTAGCTGGTTCACCCAGTATTTAATTTGAATTAGTTACCAATATTTAAAAATCTGGAGATTGCATGTTAAAAAGAAAATTTAGATTTCTTGCTTCTTTTGAAAATTCAGAAGACAACTCTAGGCACACATTGCCGAATGGCAGTAGTTGACTGCAGTTCAGTAGCTTCTGATTCCATGCAGGCGTTTTGAGTTTGTGACCCCTGCGTTAAAAGAATGGGATGAATTTGTAAGGAAATTCATTTTATAATTGTTGATTAAAAACAAGCTGGAAAAAAAGGCAAGATGTAGAGTAACATGCATAATGTGACCTTATGAGTAACATGCATAATGTGACCTTATTTTCATTGAAACAAAATTATATGTACATGTGTAAAGTATTACATCAAGTAGTGGCAAGCCAGGGGACATCTAATTTTAATACTTTTATATAATGTTCTTTTTTTGTGTGTATTGCTTCAGTAATTACAGTTAAACTAAAAAGTCTCCCCAGGTGATCCAGATGTTCTGCCATGTTTGGGAGCTAGTGGTCTAAAGCAGAAGACCAAGGCGGACTTCTTTCGTCCAGAGTAGAAGAATCCCCGGGATGCTTGTCACAAAGGCTGGCTTCCTGCCTCTTTTGGCAGTGTCTGCGGTGAAGGGAGGGGGCACCAGGAATCTGCATGTTTAACAAACATCCCAAGGGATTCTAACAGGTGATTTGTAACCACACTTTGATAAATACTGGTCAGAGCTAGGTTATGAGGGAAAGGCCTCTACTCTTGGGGACCTATTTGAGATAGGCAGATCTTTGCCTTATGGCTCTTTTCTTCCTGAGAGAAGAAACAAGATTGAAGACGGTCAGTCTAAAAGACTGGCCTAAAAGCTCTGACTCAGAAGAGTCGGACTCACTCAGGCCTCAGTCTGTCAATTATTTCTTAAAGCAGCGAAGACTCCACGATTTATCAGTGAAGTGGCTTATAGCTACCAATAACTAGCAATTGTCTCCTCCGAAGGCACCAATTCTAACAGCAATTCCCTCGGGTACAATTGTGTAGTTTAGAGTAAGAGCAGCAGTGAGTCAAGGAACTTAATTCTGTTTGTGGCTCCAAAATTGCTTTATGATACTTGTCCTTTGTGCATCTTCGTCTGTGTCTAAAATTAGCACCAACATCCTTCCCAGGCATAACTGAGATGGATGAAGGTTATAAGGGTAGAGCTTTGTCTTTTTTTGGTCAACACTTAAAATGCCTAGAACAGGTGGTGGTGGTGGTGGTGGTTGCCAAGTCGATTCTGACTCATGGTAACCCCAGATGTTAAAGAATAGAACTGCTCCACCGGGTTTTCTTGGCTGTAATCTTAACACGATTGCCAGGCCTTTTCTTCCATGGTACCACTGGGTGGGTTTGAACTGCCAACCTTTAGGTTAGCAGTCAAGTGCAAACCGTATGCACCAGAAGAACTGCACAAATGTATATTCTTTAGAATCTTTAGGACCTCAATTAAATACATCTCACAAAGCTATTTATAGGTCTCATTTTTCTATTTCCGTCTCTCCCATTTTCCTGTTTGAGAAGAGTAAAGTTTGAAAAGGGAGACCCTGATCTGAACAGGGAGAAACTGAGGTCTTCCATGTTTACGCACTCACTCTCTACTAGCCTCTGTGCCCACCTCTGCCTTGCAGGCAAAACCAACTAAACTCAGGAAAAAAAAACTGCTGTAGCTTGAAGAAAATTAATAGAAAAGTAATCCGTGGATGTGAAAGTTTCCCTGAGTATGCTAAATAAACCAAGTTAGATAACTTACTCCATGAAGTTTATAAACACTCTTTACCCCAGTTTTTATCTTCAAGTTTAGGTGGAGGGCAAAAAAAGCACAATTCTTGGAACTCAAATACGGAACAGAAATTCCTAATTTAGCTTCACAAAAGCAGTCTTTGAAAAAGACTCCACCAAGAAAAACTTTAAAGTGATACCTCAAAGAAATAACTGCTGGTACCCATACGATCTTAAGTCTCACAGATGTGCTTCAAAACCATTTCTCAGGGCAATCTGTTGCATTAGTCTCTCTGTTAATGAAGGCTGCTTGTCACAGCTCCATCCCTGAGCTAAATGACTCCATAATGCCACATATGTAGAACTCATATGTGTATCAGAAATGCTTTGCCATAAAGATATCACCAGATGCTGATGTAATTATTGTACAGTCCCCACACTGTCCACCTGTCCTTGCAAAAACTCCCTCTGCAGACATGCACCTAGTTGACACAAAGGAGCCGTTCTGAAATGTAGTTTGGAAATGTTTTATATCTGGCCTACTTTGCTTTGAATTATTCTTTCATTCGCCAAATGGCTGTTCCAGGATAGTGTGCCATGGCTCAGCAATTATTAATAAGAAAAAGCTATAGCCTTAGCTTCCAATTTTCTTCACAACACTCACAAGACAGAAGGCAGCCTTGAAGCCTAACTGCACTGAAAACAGCAATTGCTTGATGTTTATATTAAATACTGTGCTAAAGAGAAGGATCCTTTTAGTAGTGTATTTTCAAGCATGGTACATTTAGAAATAAGACCCGAAACTAGATGGACTGACACAGTGGCTGCAACAACAGGCTCAAGCATAACAACTGTGAGGATGGTGCAGGACCAGGCAGTGTTTTGTTCTGTTGTACATGGGGTCGCTATGAGCCTGAACTGACTCGATGGCACCCAACAACAGAGAAAAAAGAACCTATTAAGTGGTGAAGAAACAAAAACTTGACGAGGTTCCTAAAAATATGTAAACTTCTGCAGTTAACAAAAGAGAGCTAATGAAATGTTAATAATGATAAACAACTAATAGCAGTAGCTAACTCCACTTTTTTTTTTTTTTTTAACCATCATTGGATATTCCTTGCTTATGAAGTAAATCATAGCAAGTTGTAAGTCAGGCAAGGCTGGCCAAATCTAGCTTCTTCAGACTGCAACCTGAATCCTGCTAACTCACTGGCTCGACAGGATCCAATCAATACATGTGATATTCAGATTCCCACAGGTTTTGATCAGGCTGCCTAAACTTCATCAGACATTTCTGGATAAGACTGAGGATCAAGTACTCCTTAACAAATGGGCAAGGGGTGAAAATAATCCAAGGGTTTGAAAAATCATCTAAGTCAAAGGATAAACTCTTTTTTTTTTTTTTCTTTATAGCCCCAAATTCTGACTCAATATACTTAGAAGGTACTCATTAAATAGTTACTGAATGAATAAATAGAGAAAGGGAAGAAAAAAAGGAAGGCTTTATTTGGTGCAGATTACCTAGAATTTTCCACCATCCGTCAGTTTGTCATGCTGTGGAGGCTTGCATGTTGCTGTGATGCTGGAAGCTATGCCACCAGTATTTCAAATACCAGCAGGGTCACCTGTAGTAGACAAGTTTCCAGAGCTTCCCAAGACAGACTAGAAAGAAAGGCCTGGCTATCTACTTCCGAAAATTGTTGTTGTTATTAGGTGGTGTTGAGTCAATTCAGACTTATAGTGACCCCATGTGACACAGCAGAACTGCCTATAGAGTTTTCTAGGCTGTGATCTGTGGAGCTGCTGGATGGGTTCAAACCGCCAACCTTTCGGTTAGCAGTCAAGCGTTTAACTGTTGCACCACCAGAGTTCCTTACTAGCTAATGAAACAATGAAAACCTTATGGATCATAACAGAATATTGTCTCATATACTGCTGGAAGATGAGCCCCTACGTTGGAAGGCACTCAACAATGGACTCAAACATAACAATCACGAAGATGGTACAGAATAGGGCAACATTCTGCTCTGTTGTACATGGACTTGCCATGAGCCAGAGCCTACTTGACGGCAACTAGCAACAACAACCTAGAATTCTGGTTTCTCAGATTTCTTTCTTCTTTTCCTCTCTTCTGGGCCTGCCCACCTGTTTTGCCATCTCACTGTTTATGAGCAGCTTCAGCCGAGAAAGGGTGAAAATAGGTAAGATGGACAGTGGCAAAAGTATCAGTTGGTTCTCCTTGTTACCCTGCTTTTTATGAAGGGTTTTGATGGAATGGTGGGTGAAAAACAGGTAGTGAGAGTGGTTGCTCTTCCCTTCATTCACATACTCCCTTACTGGCTCCCACCTGCAGCTTCTGCTGAGCTTGGCTGTCAGAGCTCTCTAGGCACCGAAGGGCTGCATCTCTTCTGCGAACCTTGCTTGGCTTCCTCAGCCCCCCACAGCTCTCTAGCACTTGGGCCCCCATCCTGCTCTGCCCGTTTCACTGTCAGTTATGCCCGGATCCCAGCTGTTCGTCTGCATCTGACTCATTGCCTTTCTCTGACCTCTGACTCCTAGAACCTCTCCATTTTCAATGGCTCACGTGGTTCCAGATCCCCAGCTACATTCTACCCTGGCCCTTAATCTTTCTCCCTTTCTCCTTCCCTCCAGCTATACTCTTAAGCTTTTCCATAAGTTTTTCTGATACATGCTCCTATTGCCATCTGTAATCTTGATTCCGACAGATTATCCCCTCTTGTCTCAGTAATAAAGAGATAGCTGTGTCTCAGTGATCCCTAAACGTAGAGGAAACTACCATATTTTATCATCAATTTCCTTGTCTAGCTCCCTGACTAAATGATGGGCTTCTTGAGAGACAGCCATATGCACCTTTATTTCTCGATAAAACTTTGATATATGTTCCTGAGAGAGGAACTCTCAAAAATGGCTACATTTCACATCTCATATCTCAAGTTTTACTGTGAAGTTACTGAAGCCTCCACAAATCAGAATCTAATAGAGCTGAATACTGAGAGAATTTTACAAACTGATGAATGCCAAATAAATAAAAAACATACATATTACACGGGGTCACATGGAGTAATGGGAAGGAACATGCAATTTGAAGTCATGCAGACCTAGGTCTGAATTATGACTTTCTGCTGCTTATTATCTAGGCCCTCTGCAAGCTGGTCTGAGCCTCAACAGTCTTACTTTAAAAGAGGGATACTAGCTTCCTAAGAGGACTGTTGTAAGGATCAGGAATAGTGCATACAAAGCACTTGGTATGCAGTAAGCCCTCAATAAATGGTAACTATTATTTTTGTTGCTGGAGCCAGAAAACTTGGATACCACTCTCAGCTTTACCACTTACTAGCTGTGCGATCTTAGACAAATCACTTAATCTTTTTCAGACTTAGTTTTCACCTTTGTAAAATGAGAAAATAATACCACTTTATCTCACAGGGCTGCTGAGAAATTAAAATAAAGTATGCAGAAATTATCTTGTAAACCTCAAACCACCGTACAGGAGCTAATGGTTACTATCACATATTGTTGTTAGGTGCTTAGAGTTGATTACGACTCATAGCGGCAACAGAACGAAACACTGCCTGGTCCTGCGCCATCCTCACAATTGTTGTTATGCTTGAACCCATCGTTGCAGCCATGTGTCAATCCATCTCATCGAGGGTCTTCCTCCTTTTCGCTGATGCCCTGCTTTAACCAAGCATGATGTCCTTTCTCCAAGGACCGGTCCCTCCTGATAACATGGCCAAAGTACGTGAGACGAAGTCTCGCCATCCTTGTTTCTAAGGAGCATTCTGGCTGTACTTCTATCACGTATTAGAAAATTAAATATACCTTTGCTCTTATGGCACCTGAGTTAAAAACAAAACAAACAAAATCCTAACAGGCAATAAAAGTAATCTGTTAGATAATTTTGGCTAATAGGTTGGTTTTATGCTGACGCATGCTACTGAGTTTATAAATTATTAAAATAGATAATTATCTCTTAAATTGCTCAAGTCAAGCTAGCCAGGAAGACTGGCTACATAATTTATGGAGAACCTTTTCTAATCCTCTGCTACTCTCAAGAAAACAGTAGTTTGGGATGATAGCAAAACCTTCTGAAATCACACCCCATCATCCTAGTAAGAGGTATTGTAACACTTTTTTTTTTAATCTCACAATTTGATCTGACCTAAAAAGATTTTTTTAAACTCCCAGGACAGCTGGCCTCCATGCAGCCCTGGAGAATGGAGGCAGAGCCCTTGACAGCCTTGTAAATCCCCTGAAAACACCCTCCTTCCTAAGGTCATGTCTCCCAGTCTATGAAACACCCGTTTATATGTGTTTGGAAGAATAAAGACCATTTTTAGTAGTGCCTATTCTTCAGGGTTTCAATTACATAGCTCTACAAGGATCCCCTTGACAACTTGTGAAGGCCTTCCCTGAACCTTCTGTGAGGCCCAGGCTAATGAATCCAATACTTCATTGCTCCTGTAAGATTCACTCCAGGGCCGCTGGCAAATGAACTTTTCTTCCATGAGCACAAATTTGTTTCCTGTATTAAAAAACGAGGAAAATCATTCCATTGATATAAAGGCCAATTTGTGCAGGCTGGTGTGGAAATACAAAAGTGGAAATTCTCAGCAACATCTTATTCATTGTACAGCATCCCAGTTGCAATGAACATTAACCAGCTGGGTTTTTTCTTTTCTTCTTCTATAAGACTTAAGTATATGAGTCTTATTAACCAGTAATCAAATCTGGAAAGGTGAGGAAATAAAGATTGAGAGTGGCATAACAAGTATTTGCAAAAAGATTAATCCTGGTCCCAAATAAAATGATAAGACCATTAGATAAGCCTACTGTAATTAAGCCAAGATAGAATTTGAAAGGGACCAAAAGAACCCTTGTCTGAAAAAAACATGGAGAACACATCTGGTTAGGTTGAAAGAATAAATACTGCATTTTGATATGACAGTTAATTTCACATAAAGAGACAGTTTATAAATTACCCCCCAAAAATCAAGCTTATAACACTTTCACCATTTTACTGATTTGGGATATGAACAACATGAGTCCCTGAAAGAGTTTTTAAAGAGGTAATAAAACAAAACAAGCAAAAAAAACCAGGATCAGGACTTAACATTTTCTCTATCCTATCTTCGTCCTTCTTTCTCTTTATCAAGCCAAAAGCCTGAGGGATGACTTCAGGGAATGTGTTTACTGAGACTAGAGATACTGTAACTCTGAGATTTAGTATGTATAGAAGCAGCAAGGGGAGTGAAGAAGACTGAAGGGAAAGGAAGTGACTAGTGGAGCAGTGACTGTGGGCTCAGGGACGCAGACTTTATCCCTGGGAGTTTTGCATCAGGTAAATTGTGTAAATGCAAATTTTGAGGTTAGAAAAAAATTGCAACCCCTCCTCCAAAACAAAAACACACAAACTGACCAACCAGACAATCATCAAATTTTATCCCTAAATAAGTTATAAAGAGTAGATATATGCCAACTTCTGCTGTCCATGGATGCAAATGAATGAATGGATTTTCTTCATGCCTGAACTTCATCTTGCTAGTCACCTACAGGGATTATCTGCTTGAGAAAGGCCCTGCCATCTGGAAGTTGCTCAGGTGCACTGGGCTGAGTCAGTCAAGGCCACGCCAGCAGCTGCTGCTCATGCTGTGCTCAGAGGCATGTGGCTAGCATCTCTCTGGTTCCTTATCGATCAGTAATTCTACTCTCATGTTGGCTCACAGGGAGGTACAGGTACCTGCAGGCTCTGCCTTGTATCACATCCTTCTGCTCTTCCAAAGAGACTCCAGGCCTGGGCCATTTTGCGAAGTTTAGCAAGATTGGGTTTAATCTATGGGAAGAAACAGAATAAATTCAATTAGCAATATAAAAAGCCAAGTAGTAGATAGGTATTTCTTTCCTAATTGTGACTGTTCAAATCTAGTTAAATTTCTAATTTCTGGTTTCAGAAAAGACTATAGGTTTCTTCAGGATAAGTGGGGCTGAAAACTTTAAGTCACAGATTCCCATCTCTTCAGCAATGGGGGCAAAACTTGTTTCACTTTTTCTTTCTCTTGTGAAACAAAAAGTTTATAATAGAGTAAAATCATGAGTCAAAAAACATTAGTACCTGAAAACTCAATGCAAGAAAACACTTGATAGCCTTTAGCAGGAGAGGTAAACAAAAGAAAGGATTTTGGAAAGCAGCAACATGGACATTCCTATTATGTTCTCATGTTCTGTTTCATTTAAAATTGTAACAAGGGCAGAAAATGTTCTTAATTTAAACCACTCTGTGCTTTTTTTGCATTATCTACTTCATTGTTCCTGAGCCTCTGGGTAATCAGGGGCAAACATAATGGCGAGCTTTCCTAAGCTTGGTTCCCTTGCTTGATGATCCCCAAACCATAACTCTAAAGCTCCCTGGAGCTGGCTAGCTATGAGGACAGGTCACCATTCTAGCAAGAACCATCAAGCAACTGGATGTTTAGGCTATCTTCTGCCAACAGTGAGCTCACTGAATTTCTACCAACTTTCTGTAGCCCCAGGAAGAACGTCTGTACCTAATCAAACCTAGAGCCAGTAGGCAACAGACGTTCAGGATGTATAAGGCTGTACATTTGTTAAGCTTGAAAAATACAAAGGAGTCATGTATAATCTGACAGGTCAGCCTAAGCTCCATTCTGAATTTGAGCTGGAACACTGGAAATTTATACGAAATTTCCAATGTACATTTTTCAAAGCTCTCATATTTTGGAAAGGATTAAAATAGATTTCATTTGGATGATAAGAATTGAAAAGGAAAGAGAAGATAAACCTTGCTCCCTCCTACTCCTGTTAGTCATTAATATACCTGTTTTTCCTGCTCCAAATGGTCTATGTCAGCTAACGGCAGCATAGAAGGTCTCCCATGAGCACACTGGAATGGCAGCTTGCACGAGGACAAAGCTTCAATAAGGCGATGGCTCTCTGCTAGGCTCAAATCATCATTAAACTTAATGGCCCCTAATGAAAGAGACAGGGTTATGGTGTGTACAGTGGGAGACCAATGCTGACCCTGGGTGAGAGCCAAATATCTGGAAAAAGTAGCATGTGTCTTCTTTAACACGGCTTTAGTACTGCTTGAAATTGGCACTTACAGCCATGGATGAAACTAAGGCTTCAGGACTGACCTTCTGCCTCTTGGTTTTTCCTCATGGAGTATTTGTCTTTCCAATCCCTGTACGAGGCATTCCTTAACTTGCTAAAATCTTGTTTTCAGGGTTTTTCTCCAAGAGGCAAGAATACTTCTTTACTCCTTGCAGGTTTGTGAAACTGAGGTCATCTTTTGTCTACAGCAGTCCATGACCAAGATCTCTGATTTGCTTCTTTTTTTTTAATTTCCATAATAACCTTTCTAATATAAACTCTCATATTGTTAGAACCTGCACATGATAACTTACTCACTTAGCAATTATTTATTAAGTGCCAGGCAGTGAATGAGACAAATGATCTCCACCCTCACAGAGCTTACAATCTAGTATATGGGACAAACACTGAACAAATAATTACACAATGATTTAAACTATAAATATAAGTACAACACACAGGATATGAAAGAATGTTTAATAGGAAGACCAAATCCAATTTAGGCAGTCAAGAAGTCTTCCCGGAAAAACGATATTTAAGCTGAGATCTTAGGTTAAGAAACACTTTGCTAATTGAAGAAGAAGCAAAAAGGCAAGTACAGAGGAAAAGGCAAGTGCAAAGGCCATGAGGATGATAGATGTGTGGCACACAGGAGCAGTAAGACTAGGCAGCAGGGCTGGGATGCAAACAGTGAGGTGGAGAGTGATGTGAGCTGAAACAGGGGAGAAAGGCAGGGGCTCTAACATGAGGACCCTCGTAGGCCATGGTAAGGAATAACATTTTTATCCTAAGACCACTAAGTAGTCATTGAAGAGTTTTGGTTAGAAGAATGACAATGATCAGAGGGATGTTTCAAAAAGGCTTCTTGAGTGCTGTGGGAAGAATGATCTAGAAGGGAGAGTGGATGTGGGGAGACTAAGAGGACTCAACTGTGGCAAGAGCTATGGTTGTGGTAGTGGAGACAGACTGAATTGGACAGATTTAAGATACATTTTGAAGGCAGAGATTTTAAAATTTGGTGATGGAATAAATATGAGGCATAAAGAATGGATAAGGGACAAAGGAATTTAGGATATCTGCAGGAGACAGACTGAGGTTTGCAGGAGACTGACCATGTTCCTAAGCAGAAAAAGACAGGAAGTAAGGAGAGGAGAGAAGGCTAATGGGGAGGGAGAAAATGGAGATGGGCAGTGCCAGTGGACTGGGGAGCCCATTGTGGTCAAATGACAGTTACAGGAGATTCTGTAGCTGTTATGACCCCTAGAGTAAGTTCCTCCCTTACCATTTTCTATATTTTACCATATTACCCTACTCATGAATCCTCCATGATTTCTGTATTAAATTCTAAAGGTTTTGATGTAAGCTTCTGGGCTTCTGTTCTTTCTTACCAATCTAATTTCTTGATATTCTTCACTGCTCCTCATATAACTAATTTGTTTCTGCATTTGGGTCTCTGCAGATGCTATTTCCTCTCCCTGTAGCGAATTTCCCTCTCCATCCTAGGAATCCATGTTCCTTGGCCCATTCAAAACCTTACTTCAAAATGTACTTCCTCTAGGAAATACTCCTCTACTCATCTAAGTCAGTCTGCATTATAGTCAAATATATATGTTGGTATTTTGCTTTGTTGTGGAAGAAAGGCCTGGCAATCTGCTTCTGTAAAGATTATAGCCAAGAAAACTCCATGGAGCAGTTCTACTCTGTACCACATGGGGTCACCATGAGTCGGAATCAGCTTGATGGCAATGGGTTGGTTGTGTTTTGCTTTGTAAAAATTAAAAAAAAATTTTTTTTTTTTTTTTAGTGTATTCAGTTTCTTGATCTAAATTGTACCCTCCAAGAGGTAAGTAGTAAGTGAGCCTTTTACTTCTTTCATAACCTGCCAGTGCTTAGCACACAAGGCACTCAACAACTGTTGTATTGAGGGTCTTACCATGGCAGGCTTGGGATGCCAACACCTTCTGGACAGTCAGTGGCAAAGTCCCTTGGATGCTTCCTGTGGTCTGGAGTAGCTAATGCATAAACACATTCTTTATTAACAGGTAAGGAAATGAGACAATGGAGCCTTTTGTATGTGGCACCTCTGTGTGCATCCCCAAAATAAGAGAAAGGCTTACCTCCACTTGTTCTCGAATAAATTCCTATAAAGAAAAAGGGGAAACAGACATTAAACTTCTGTTATGTTGTACTTGTCCTTTGATAGTTTACAAAATATCCTAATTTTCTCCTTTAAAATATGCCTTCTTAGTGTGCTTCTGCGTGGACCTGAACCACCAACCTTTCAGTTAGCAGCCAAGCCTGTTAACTGTTTGCACCACCCAAGGACTGCTAATATATTAACTGGTGTAAAAAGTAAATTGTATGTCAAAACCCATAAAACTGTACAAAACAGTGAACCCCAATGTAAACTATGGACTTTAGTTAATAATAATATATCAGTATTGGTTCATCATTTGTAACAAATGTACCACAGGTATGCAAGATGTTAATAATAGGAGAAACTGTGTGCAGTGGGAAGAGGAGATATAGGAGCTCTTTGTACATTTGCATAATTTTTCTGTAAACCTAAAACTGCTCTAAAAAAAATAGTCTTTAAAAAAAAAAAAGCCTCCTGAGGAAGAGAGAATCCAGAAATACAGTACTTAGGTACAAATAATTTATTTGTTGTAAGGTACTTTGAATATGAAATATCAGACAATACCAACTCTTACTGAATATAAAATATAGTTACTGAGACTTCCTCCAGAGAGAGCTTATCAACTAATTAGGTCATGTAACTGTGACAGCAGCCTTGATGATTCAACTGATTCTAAATATCTAGAAGGCTTCTCACTAAGAGGCCGTCTGTTTATATCTACGATCTTAGCCAGAGTTAAGTGTAATATTAGACACAGACTGAGAACAAATACACAACAGTCAGCAACACAACTGGGCACTCAATATAACACTTGTTTAAATATCATAAACATAAGCAAATAGTCACTTTAGTTCCCACAGGTTTTTTTTGGACAATTCCTTTCAGGTCAAAACACTTATTTTCTGGGGCATTCTGTTGAGAAGTTTCTCCTCCCTTGCATGTCTCTGTCCCTGGGGTATCCTTCTCAATAGTTCTCTCCCTGCAGATGTTAATATTTACAAATGAACTTCAAAAAAATTTAAAGCAGACACTATTTCCTGCTACCAATTTACCTCTGGAGGTAAAAAAAACTGTTTTGAGATATGGCACATTTAATGATTTCTTTATAAGAAAACATAGGATTTCTTTACTTTTGCAAATGGCTATATATAAATCAGCTTCCTAAGATTTTAACATGGTAGATTTTCTTATTAAACTAGACTCAGAAAATTCTTTCCCCTCTCTCATATATAGTCTAGCCTGCCACGCTTATAAATGAGCAGAGTTACCAAGAGCTGGGTGTTAGATACTATATTACCTTTTTTTAAAAGCCACATAACCCCAGACAAACCTAAACAGAAAGATGTCTCGTAATACTTGCTGCACTAACCAAGCTTAGTGTGGATCGAGATCAAACCTAACTTCTTTGCTATTCTCTCCTGTGCTTGTGTATCGGGGACTGAAAAACTTCAGTTTGTAAGTCTGGAGAGGGGAAATGGGTTTCACTCTGTTCATTTCACATTTCCATGGTTCAATTAATGTCTAATAACTTAAATAATGTTAAAAGGCTCATTTATCAGGCTAGAGGACAGAACTTTACAGGAGGATGCATTAGTGATCTTCCAAATGCTAGGATCCAAGCAGCCTCCTCCTCTTTAAGACCAAAACTGTTCCAACGTCTTCCAGAATCAACAAAATCTCTCCTGAACAGCCTGACTTAACATAATCAAGATTTTCTGAAACTATAAGCTTTGTTTCAATCTGAAGTAAACTCCTTAACAGTAGTCTTTGAAGTCACTTCAGGAAAAGTTTGTATTATAATTTTCTGGTTAAATATTTAGGGATTGAATTACAATAAAAGATTCCAACAGATTCTATCTTTTGGATGTAAAACGATTTGGAGGAGGAGCCTTAGAGAAACTAAGCTCTGGTGGGAGAAAAGAACTCTGCTGAAAGCACAGCAAAGGTTGTCTGATTAAAGGGCAATTTTGGAAAGGGTAAAATCAAGGTAATCCAAAAGCTGGCACTGTTAACTGCCTTTTCCTCTTGACTGTCTTCTTGCCTTTAGCCTACAAACATGCTAAAGTCCCTTTAATCTTAAAACAAACAAAAATCCTCCCTCAACCTTATGTCCTGTTCCAGACTCCCTACTACCCCTAACCTTTAGCTATCATCCTATCTCTCTTCTATATGTAGCCGAAGTCCTTGAATGAATAGTCTGCTTAGCTCCACACCCTGTCCCTTTACTCACTCCCTGACCATTTGCAATCCATCTTCTGCCTCACCCCATCCAGGAAGTGATTCCACAATGTAACCAATGTCCTTATGGCAGCCAAATTCAACAAACATTTTTCAGGCTTTACTTTATGGTCGTTGTTGATCATTCTGTTCCTCCTTGAAACTCTTCCCTTGGTTTTGGCAATATTACTTTTCCTGGTTTTCATCTGATCAAATATTCTCTGATCAAATATTCTCAGTCATCCTTAGAGTTTCCTCTTTTCTACTACCACCTTGAATGCTGGTGTCCACCCTTTGCTCTCTTCCCTTTTTATTCTTCGTATTCTCCCTGGACAATCTCACTCCCCCCAGACCCATCTCCAGCTTCTGATACTATCAAAATGTATATAATATTAACCCTCAAATAGATCTGTACAGTCCAGAATTCTTCCCGAAGCACTAGATCTGTAAGTCTGCCTATCCACTGGACATCCCCATCTGAAGGCACATTCAATGTGCCCAAACCTGGACTTATAATCTAACTCCCCAGCCAGGTACACTCATGTTCTATTTCTGTTCTCTGCCAATGGCACATCATCCTCCCAGTCACCAAGCTAGAACCCTTAGAATCACTGTTGCTTTACTTTTCTCCTTTGTTCCTTACAATCTATTGTTCATCAGGTCCTCTAGATTCTATTTCCCAAATTATGTCTCAGATATGTCCCTCCTTCCCATTCCCACTACTACTGACTTAATCAAATCTTTGACTTCTCTCATTGGAACCAATGCAATAGCCCTCAGTTGCTTGCAATGCCTCAAATCTTCCCCATATCAGTCTATCCCACAATTTATCCACTATCTTTTAATTTTTATTTTTTTAAGTATAAAGTAATATATATTTCTAGAAAAATGGTAGACGTGGTTGATGTCGATCTGCTTTTGTTCCAAACAAGGGGAGCTGGAGATAAAGGAATAGAAACTGTAATGAAAAAGCAGGACACCATGAAAAAGAACAGGTAGATTTTGGGGGGGGGGGGGTGCAGAAAACTTGTTTTTTGAAATAAATAAATAGTCATTGAAATAAAAAAACTCAGTGGATAAGTTAACCATCTAACTAAATAGTAGGTGAAGAGAAAATCTAGTTTACTAGAAGATAAATAAGGAAATCTCTCAGAATGCATCACAGAGAGATGAAACAATGGAAAATATGAAAGGGAGGTTAAGAGGCATGGACAAGAGAAAGATAAGGTAAAACAGACATAAGACAGGATTTCCAGGAGACAACAGAGAAAATAGCGGAGAAGCAACGTTTGAAGTGATAATGACCGTACATACTCCAAATCGAAGAACCACGATGAATCCCAAGAAGGAAATGAGAATAAATCCACACCAAGACACACCATAGTGAAAATGAAGAGCACCGAAGACAAAGAGAACATCTTAAAAGCAACCAGAGAGAAAACCAGAACACCTATAAAGGAATGTAATTAGATGACAATGGACTTCAATGGCAGAAACAGATGTCAAAGGTAATGAAATAGTTTCAAAATGCTGGGGGGTAACTGGCAATGTAGAATTCTATTTTTAGCTACACAATCATGTAAGTGTGAAGATAAAGATACTTTAAAGAGAGTTTATCATTCATGGACTCTTAATGAAAGAACTTCTTTTAAAAGATTTACTTTGGTAAAAGGAAACTGAACATAAAAATAATAAATAGGATGCAAGAGGCAATAGTGAACAAAGACTCTGGTAAACATTTTGATTAATCTAAATGAGCATTGACTATAAAGTTACTGACTACTGGGGAAATTAAAAGCAAGGTGAAGTTAAAATACTAGACAACATCATGGAAGATGGGAGGGGAGTGATGGGAAATAAAGAGTTCTAAGGTTTCTGTATAGTTTAAGAAGAAGATAGAGAAACAAATCACCTTTAAACTTTCAAGGCTAATCTCTAAAAGAATACAAACGGAATATATAACCTTTAAACCAGGAGAGGAAAAAAGGAGAAATAAAGAAAACTCTAACAAAAAAACAGGAAAGGAAGAAAGGGTAGCAAAGACAAAATAAACTATGCCTGTCATAAAAAAAATTAAATACAAAAGTAATCAAAGTAAAAATTAATAGTCCTCTCCAACTTCCAATGCCACATCCTAGCAGTAGCTTTCTAGCCCTTTACCAAAGCATGTATGTACACTAACTGGATTTAAAATGCAATGCTAAAATGTCTATTACTCTGCTGCTTAATATTCTTCATTGGTTGTCTATATGATGGAATGCAAATTACTTAGCACAAAATGCTAAATTCCTCTATGATTTGGCCTTGACAACCTGTTGGGCTTCATGTCCTAACACCATCAAATATATATCTGAATTGAGCCATACCTATTGGTCTAGTTCCCCAAACGTTGTTGTGTGCTGTCAAGTTGATTCCAACTCATAGTGACCCTATATGATGGAGTAAAACTGCCCCATAGAGTTTCCAAGGCTGTAATCTTTACAGAAGCAGACTACCATATCTTTCTCCCATGGAGTGGCTGGTGGGTTTGAACTGCTGACCTTTCGGTTACCAACTGGGTGCTTAACCACTGTGCCACCAGGACTCTTCTCCCTAATATAAGATCTCCTTAAAGTCTCTTATATGCTGCTCCTCTGTCTAGAATGCCCTTCTCCCCTCTTCTGTACCTGGCAGGCTCCTACCGCTCTTTAAGACTTTACTTAAAAAAAACAAAAAAAACAAAAAAAAAAACTCACTTTTTCTGAGACAGTTTCCTTGACCTCAACCCCTCTGGGCACAATAATCATTCTGTATTCCCATAGCACTTCTGAACATACTCCTACTAGCCAAATTTCAGTGTACAGTACTGTAATTATTTAAATGCCCTTCTTCCTCACTTTGAGCTAACTGAACTTTCAATATCTAGCCACTGACACATACGCATTTCATAAATGCTTGTTGAATGAAAGATGAATATAGAGAAAATATGAAGTTATTATCCTCAGCAATTTCCTCAGCCTCTGCAGCTATGTGTTACCTCCACAATACTCTTGGTCACAGTAGATCTTCCTCTTCGAAGTTCATTGGCTTCTCTTTCTACAAAACAGAGTGGTACTTTTCCCACAAGGACCAGAGAATCACTAGTTTCTGGAAATATAAATTCAAGGCCCAGATCTTCCAGATTTTTGTGGTAACACCTAAAGAGATAACCTTAAATGTAACAGTAATACTTATTCACATTTCAGTACTGGTTCCAAATACCTGATAGTTTCTCAAAAGCTGCCATAGGCTTTAAAAGTTATATTGTTTTTCTCACACTTATGGGTGTTTATTTAGGACTTTACTGTAAAATTTCCTTTTTTAAATTACAGTAACCTCTTTCTCTTTTCCATTGAGAGAATCACTTTGTTCCTAAGTCTTGTTCTTAGGTTTTTTTCTGAGGAACTGCTAACTTCTTGTAGCTGGCACTAAAAGGAGTCTGGCACAAAGAAAAAGGCTGAGAATGTTTTGAATCAGCATTAAAGCAGGGTGGTAATTAACAGCCTCAGGAACTGAAAAGTCCTGATTAATGGGATATAAATAAATGGATCTGCCTCTAATATAAATTATATGCCCAAGGGAAAAATATTTATTGGCAGTAGCATATTCCCAAATCTGAAATAAATTGAGAGGCAATTCTCTCTTTTTCGTTTCCAATAATTTGTTCTTCCCAGAAGTGGGAAACTGTCCTATCTTGTGACTCACTATATAATTTGCCCCTTCCCAGTGTTTTTTACTTTCTTCTCATTATGATTATGGAAATGATAACTAAGAATCTAGACTGCACCAAGACAAAGAAGAATGGAAGCAATTACTGCAGTAACTTTTCTTTCAGAAACAGCACAGCATAAACACTGACTGTTCCAAGAAATGGGAAGAGTGTTCTAAGCCAACTGCTGGAAAAAATTATTAGGGAAATGCTATCCTGTACTCAACAGCTGTGACATACTGAAGAAACAGCATTTGGAGTCAGGAGAACTGCATTTGATCAATTACTTGATAATTGCTGTGGCCTTGGATAAGTCATGTAAACCTCTCTTGACTCAGTTTACTCATGTGAAAAATGGAACAACAGTTATGTTTATACCTAATAGAATTATTGTGAGAATTTACACTGCAACATTACATCCTCATGGTGTTACTAACCACAAGAGTCTCCTTTGTTCCTCTGTCACTGTTATCTCTAGCGGCGGACTTATAGTAGAAGATAGTAGTTTTTTTCGACCAGAGCCTTGTGGCTGTTGCTTCTCATAGGAATCTATTGGAAGAAAGATTAATAGGTTAAGAGTAAGTGAAGTCTTCTAGACTCAGATGAAAAATGGTGAGGCACAGCCATGTTAATTATTCTAGTGCTTAGTAGTGTGTTCAATGTTCAGTTTTAGACTTTGGGTTTCTGTTATTAAAGTCAAACTAGTATATAGCCATCCTGTTAATTCATTCGAGCAGTACTTTGCGAAATAACAGAAGACTTATACATAAAGTCGGTGTTCTGAATTCTACTTTGGTGAATAGTGTCTAGGGTCTTAAAAGCTTCCAAGTGGCCATCTAAGATATAACTATGGGTCTCTTTCAGTCCCAAGTGAAGGAGAATGAAGGAGACCAAAGACTCAAGGGAGCAATTAGTCCAAAGGACTAACGGACCACATGAACCATAGCCTACATGACCCTGAGACCAGAACTAGATGGTGCCTGGCTACCACTACCAACTGCTCTGATTGGGATCACAACAGAGGTCCTAGTCAGAACAGGAGAAAATTGTAGACCAAAAAAATCAAATTCACAAAAAAGACTGGGCTTGCTGGTCTGACAGAGACTGGAGGAACCCCAGAGACTATGGCCCTAAGACACCCTTCTGACCTGGAAATGAAGCCATTTCTGGAGACCACCTCCCAGCCAAACAACAGACAAGCACATAAGATAAACGATAACACCCAAGAGGACCGAGCTCCTTGGAACAATCAATTATAAGACGAGAAGGCAGAAAGGGGTAGATAATCAGGGCGAAAGAAAATGGGGAAACCAGGGCAGAAATGCGGAGAGTGCTGTCACATTGTGGGGAATGAAAACAAGGTCATGAAACATTTTATGTACCAACTACCGAATGGGAAACTAATTTTCTCTGTAAACTTTCACCTAAAGCACAATTTAAAAAAAAAAAGAAAGAAACAGAAGACTTAAATCTTACATTCAAATAAGGGAACAATGCAATGTTCCTGTAGATATTTAATAAATGTGGTTTTAATAACAGAGGTGAATTATGTGGATTACTGAGGAACTATAATGGGTTTACTACATAATCCTATGACTCAAGAAGGCTTCTCCATTTCTCCTGAAGGGTTTCTCAGTCTCAGAAGAGAATTAGTCATTACTATTTCCAAGTGGTCCAGGGCCAGTGGCAAGTAAATTTTTCTAACACTGTTTTTGCTATATCTTTCCCAACTCTCAGGCCTTCATTTTATAATGAAAAGTAAAAATGGCAGTAATATTATTACAGTCTAATCCATGAAATATCTCCTAGGTGCTTACCTAACTCTTTTAACACTAGGGTTTCTCATTACTTGATCACAAGAGTAAAGATTTTCCTGATATTTTACCACTTGGGGAATACATTGCCTCCTGAGAAAACTGGGTAATGAATATTGAAAAGCACATGTTGATTTTGGAAAGATACATAAAGATTAGTGATATTGGTTGCCTCTGGGGAGGGAAACTGGGTGAGATGGGAGAAAAAGGTAGAAACGAGACTTCATCATATTTCCTTTTGTCCCTTTCAGGCTTTGATCTATTTGATTATACTATCTATTCAAAAGCAAATTAAACTTAAAAATAATATATTAGGTCTTCTGACCTGCTGGTGATCTCTGCCTGGTAAACTGCGAAGAAGGCAGATCAAGATCACTCATTTTATGATGGACATATCTTTGTGCTGGATATCATAATAAAGTAGCCCAACCCTTAGCTATATTTGCAACCCATATACATGGCAAATAAATCTTTGACCATGTAAATAAGGCCCAAATGTTTGAATTAGTAGAGTGAACTATTACATTCTCTCAGTTATAACAGAGGCCAAAACAGAGACCTGGGCTTAATTTTTTCAACATACAAAGCATCTTCCTCGTAACAGTCACAGAGAGAAAAACTCCTTCAGAAATACTGATTCTGCTGGGGAGTCTCAGTTTATCTCTTACCAGTAATAAGCTGCTCCAGACGAACACGCTCATGAGCAGCATGCTGATCCACCAATACTAGCAGGTTTCCACCTAGAAGAGTAGCAAGGATTACCGGGTTTCAATTTCTCAGATCAAGATTAAAATAATCATCGTGTGCTGAAGGAGAAAGAGGCTAATTCAAGCTATTTAACAACATGGGCATAAGAGAAAACATACATATTGAACAGTAATAATTTTACCTTTATTTCCTAAAAAACTGAAATTATGGGTAAACCTATAACACATTTATCCCTGATGAAAAACTCTTTAGTTCATCAGTGTTTCATTTATAATACAAGGTTAAAGTCCCACATTCCTAATATTTAAGTACTGATTTTGCTTTAGTGATTCAAATTTGATACAGTGAAGATCATTAAACAACACATTATTATAATCAGCTGAACTTGATTTGAAAGCTACTCTGGGACCCACGAAGAATGTAAATTCTATTACACTGTAGACCAGAGGTCAGCAAACTCTTTCTGTGAAGGAGCAGACATTAAATACCTTAGGCTTTGTGGGCCAAACAGTTTCTGTCATAACTATTACTCATTTTGTGCCAAAGCAGCCATAGACCATATGTGAGCAAATAATACAAAGGTAATATTAATTATGTCAGAGCTGTAATTTTGATATTCCAACACACTAGAACGGAGGCTTCATGAGGGCAGGGTGTTGTGTCTACTATATCCCCACCATGTGTAACAGCACCAGAACATAACAGGCCACTTAATAATATTTACAGAATGAATGAATGAATGAATGAATCTTTACTATTTAGGGTGTCATAACTGAACAATTGTGTTTTATTGTAGGTGGAAACATGTAACATAAAATGCCAATCCACAGCGGCATTAATGTCACTGTAACTTAAAAAACATATTTGTCCATTTTAAAACTATATATGCAAATATAAAAATAAAAGCAAGTCAACTATAGGGATAGGTTGCATTTGGTATTCATGAGCTACAGTAAAAACACCTGCATTTTGATTTTGAAAAATGTATTTTACCTAAGAGTACTGTTTAGCAGCATCTAATTAATCCAAAGATAATATAAAATCTCAAGATAAATTTAAATAGGTCCCTTTTTCTTCTTTGAACATCTGCAGATTTTGTGGCTACAACCATCACAGGTATCATTAGCAAAGATTTTGGTATTTAACAACAAAGAATTCCAAGTAATCAAAACTTACAAAAAATCTATTCATTTTCTAGAAACAGTTAAAACTACAGGAATTTGACCTTCATAAATTCCATATTTATAATATGGAATAATAATAATAATTTTGAAAACTATAATTTTCCTTTGATCTATTATGAAATTTACTAAATAAATACACATTGTAAACAAGATAAAAGGGAACATTTTGTTATACAAAGAGAATTAACTGCTTTCAAACTGTAAAAGCACTGGCCTGCAGGTCCACCTATCTAGACCAGTCCTTCTCCTGGTGCTCAGGGCTCTCAGCCACTCGGGCCTTTTCAGGAACTTTACACTATCTATCATCCCTTGTACATTTCCTCAAGATTCTCCTATTAAGAATAAAAACAGGAAAAACCCTCTTTCAGTCCCTCTCCTCCATGTCACATACAGATTTCTGAATCTCTCGGGTCTCCATTAGCATCCTTCTCTGAAACAGCTCTCATTTGCTCAAGTTCATAACCTTCACTGTCACTAAATCCAGCAGATATGTTTGGTCCTCATCTTAGTTGACCTTTCAGCAGCTGACCTTGGCACGAAGTCTTGGCATTGCAAAACAACACTGTTCCATTTTCTTCCTATTCCTTTAGTTGTTCCTTCTCAATCTCTTGCTGGTTCACCCTTTTCTACCCAGCCATTAAAATGTTAGAATTACTCTAAATTCAGAACCTCTCCTTTGTTCACTCTTCATTTTATTTTGCTAGGTGATAAATTCACACCCAGGACTTGAATGACTAACATTATGCTAACAAGTCAAATTGATATCTCCATGTCAGACAGCAGCTCTGGTCCCAGATTAGTATTATCTAAACAATCTATGTGATAATCTAAATAGATAATCTATGTGATTATCTATTTCTCCTCCATGTATATCTTTGCCCACCATGTCTCCCTAGGGCCTAGCACAGTCCCTTGTACACAGTAGGCACTCAATCAATATTTGTTAATTGAGTTGTTACTATTTACAAACTATTATTGTTTCATTAAAGCAGGCCACAAAGAGATTCTATGTAACTCTTGATAAACGTAGCAGAGTACATTATATAAAAGGTGCGCTGGTGGTGCAGTGGTTAAGCGCTCCATTGCCAACCAAAAGGTTGGTGGTTCAAACTCACCAGCCACTCAGCAGGAGAAAGATGTGGCAGTCTGCTTCCGTAAAGATTACAGCCTTCGAAACTCTATGTGGCAGTTCTACTCTGTCCTATAGGGTTGCTATGAGTCAGAATCGACTCAATTGGCAATGGGTTCAACAAATTTATTGTTATAAAGAAGAAGCCCTGGTGGCAAAATTGTTAGGAGCTTGGCTGCCAACCAAAAGGTTGGTGGTTTGAACCCACCCAGCAGCTCTGTAGGAGAAAGACCCAGCAATCTGCTCCTGTAAAGATTATAGCCGAAAAAGCCCTATTTGGTGGTTCTGCTCTGTCACATGGGGTTGCTATGAGTCTAAACCAACTCAATGGCACCTAAACAACAACAACATTATTATAAAGGGAATACATAAAAATATACTCATTATTAAAAAGTCAAACAATATAAAATACAAAGAGTAAAAGGTGAAATTCCCCATTCACTCATCCCCTTTCTCACTCCCAAAGTAACTACTCTTAATAGTTCAATGTGTGTCTTTTCAGTCCTTTTTCAATGCATTTCTGTGTGTGTGTGTGTGTGTGTGTATAAAACTAAATGTATTTTAAAACTGATGTTTCATAATATTCTTTAGATTGGTTTTCTCTAATCTGTCCAGATCACTGAAACTGTATTGTACATCAAAAATAATCTTAAAAAGAAGCTATTAGCAGGCCAGCTGATTATTAATCGAGCCTAAACTCCATTCTTACCTGCCTCACCATTCTCTTCAGTCTTGGTGCTCATTAAACAGGCAATAAACTTGTTATCCACTTGCTGAAGAACCTGCCACACATTCAAATAAGTGGAACACTAAATTAAAATTAAAAAAGGCTTATCTGCATAGAAAGAGAGAAAACTGTACATTATCCTTAATTATTTAGAGTCTTTTACATCATAACACTCCTATCTAAGCTTGAGGTGAGGTGTAAGGATAAAAGAATGGGTAAATAAAGTGATTAGAAGACATAAAGGAGGGAGACTACACAGGAACACAGATTAAGAGAGGATGATATTAAAAGGCATCTAAGAGGGATATACTAATAAGACACTAGAGTAGATATAAAATTTCCCCAGCACAATTATCTTATTAATAAGTAATATGACCAGAGAAATTATTAATATGACCAGAAATTGCTAACCAATAGGGCCTAAACCAATTTTTAAAATTTATGGAAAAGCAAGGAAACCATTTTGGGGAAGCCAGTCCAGGAAAATACTAAGTGCCATTGGTGGCTTTAGACCTTGGTAGTGCCTGTCTGTCTAGGTACATGAGGTCCTCCCAGTCTACATCCCTGCCCCAGGACCTATTTCTGGTCAACTGCTTGTTTGCTCTGTACCCGGTCAACACTAGGTTAGATATTCACCTAGATCTGTCCAACCTCCTGATTTGTTTCTATACTGAAAGCAAGGAGACTGAGACAGCCAGAGTAGTATATAGAGCACCAAGTAAAAAAGCAGATGAGACAAAGGGTCCCTTTTGTTAATGGAACTCCAAAATCTGAGGTCTCTTGAGCCATGCCATTGGTGGCCTCACACAATAGAGGGTCATTTTAAAAAGGGCACTGTTGCATATTTAAGGACAATGTCTCTAAAACAATTTGTTGAATTATAAATCATTCTCAAATATAAAGTCAATGTATAATCTTCTGTAGAAATATCTTAACAATCCTTGAAATCGTGAGCCTGAACCTGTCATTCATCCCTCCAAACCTGCTGACACTACTAAGGACATTTCTTTCTTTGTAACTGAGTCCCCTGCTTTTTCTTCTGATGATTAAAGCTTCATTAAGATTACAAAAACACATGTGCCCTGACCAGGGTGGTCTATATCACTGAATAAATCCAATTTCACAAGAGTTAGTCCAGTTTAGGCCTTACGCAGATTTTTCTAAAATTTAAAAGCCAAACTTTTACCTGCATCGAATGAATCATTTCTTTGGTGAAACGATAGGGATACAAGATGTTGTGAATTTTCACTGCTAAGCTCTCAGCCTGGCCACTGCTTACATCAACAGCAACCTAGAAAGACCCAGCACAAAGATCATTTAAATTCTAAATTTTTATATCTGCAAAGCTGTCTTACCAAAGATTTCAAAGTGGTTTAAAAACACTCATCTTCACAGAACCTACTAAGAAAAAACAAACAAACAAACCTGTTGCCATCGAGTCGATTCTGACTGATAGCGACCCCATAGGACAGAGGAGAACTGCCCCATAGGGTTTCCAAGGAGCAGCTGGTGGATTGAACTGCCAACCTTTTGGTTAGCAGCCAAGCTCTTAACCACTGCGCCACCAGAACCTACTAAACGTGGGATGAATTCGTGGACCTTATAGAAATTCAGAAGGATCTATGAATTATTAGTCTTAAGTAACAATTTCTCTTTCTAAACAAAATTACTGACAAAGACCAATGTTGGTTGAGAACAATAATTTGTCTACGCTCCATGTTCGAGTCCTGAAAGGTATTTTAACTGAAGAATCAGTAATCAAATGCTCATTTATTATACACCCTCATTACAACATACCCAGTACATTCTGTGATCACACACACCGAGGAGAGAACATACACCCAGCTCAATGATGAGCTGTTGCTCCAGCAGAAGGGTCACTACTTTGCTTAATGATAACAGTTTTTATTATTACCACCCTGAATACTTTGCTAAAGTTGGAAGTCAGGGCTTCTAAGTGTGGTTCACACACTGATTATATATGGTGAATCCAAAATGCTTAACTTCCAAAATGTTATGAATTTTGATGATTCCTCTCCATATTAAATATTTAATTTCCAAATAAAGTATTTGGAAACATGCCTAGCTTCCATGCATAATTACAAATTAGTAAAATCATTCATGCCCATATTCAGCTTAAATGAAATTCAAATTTTAAATAGCAGACAAAGAAAAATTGCTGTAGACCCACCTCTGGGTAACGGGCAAATACTGGATTGTCCCATTCAGAGAACAAAGACTGAAGCGATTCGCTACCCACAGCATCACCCATGGTATCTAGGGCAAAAAGGACAGGTAAAGTTGGCAGCAAGAGCCTCAGGGAAAAGGGCAGATGGTATCTCCTATTTGGTGTGGTGCAGCCCCAAAACCAATATTGTTCCTATAGTCTACAAATGTTCAAGTGTTTGTTGTGTCTCTAAATGATCTTGATCTGTTGCTATTTAAAACTAGAGTTGATGACTGTATCTTCTGGCATTATAGCTCTTTCTTGAAACTATTAATAAGAGATATTTCAGAATACAAACCCAGAAGAGACTGTGGCTCAAATTAGTAGTCTCACTTCCTTTAGGTAAAAATATTCCTTATCTACTTTTAGAAACAAAGAAAATAAAAAATGATACATGTCTGTAGCCTTTTTGAAAGACAAGAGTTTTGTTTAGATAAAACTACTGAAATATGGAGTGCAACTCCAATCTTCAAAAAAAAAAAAGAGAGAGAGAGACATTTTCCCAATCACAAGTCCCCACAGACTATGCATAATCACCCACTATTGACCTCAAGTCTGGAAAAGTAATTTCTGATCTAAATGCATGCACTGAATTACTTAGTTCTGCTGTTAGATACGACCATGGGGAATTCCTGGTTCCAGTAAGGCACAGCGGGCACTGATAAAGCTTATTAATGCATGCCTACTTTGTTTTTTGAGTTAGGTGGTACGGTATGTACTAGGTAGTTCCAACCAGGTCTGTTATTGCCCCTACCTCTGTTATTCTGTCTCATCACAGTGCTCTCTTCCCGAGCTCTAGGAAGGAAAGGAAGAACAAGGTCGCTTCTAAAAGGATGACACTTGTACTGAGACCCTAAATATAAAAAAGAAAAACCTGGAAATTTGAACTCAAAACACAAATAAACCATTAAAAAATTAAATCATATAAAATCTATCTCTGCACAAATCTAATTAAGACAAAAGATAACTACTAAATACTAGATTGAGAGACACAAGTTCTTTAATGAAACTGTTCTGCTAACTTAGGAGTCTACATTAGTGCTTAGTCCCATCATCCATCTCTACAAGACAGAATGAGGATGTAGAATAGGTCTTAGTGGTTCTCAATGGGGGGCAATTTTGCAACTGGGGGGGAGGACATTTGGCGATATCTTGGTGTCCCAATGTGGGGTAAGGGTACTATCAGTATATAGCAGATAGAGGCCAGAGATACTGCTAAACAACCTATACTGCATAGAACAGCCCCCATAACCAAGATCATTCAGTCCAAAATGTCAATAGGGTTGTGACTGAGCAATCTTGGGCTAGACAGATAAACCCACTGCCGTAGAGTGTAGAACTGCCCCATAGGGCTTCCATGGCTGGTGGGTTTGAACTGCCGGCCTTTTGGTTAGCAGCCGAGTGCTTAACTATTGCGCCACCAGGACTCCGTCTCCTAGACAGATAAACAAAAAAATCCACTGCCATCGAGTCGATTCTGACTCACAGTGACCCTATAGGACAGGGTAGAACTTCTCCATAGCGTTTCTAAGACTGTAAACCTTTACAGAAGCAGACTGCCACATCTTTCTCCTGCGGAGCAGCTGGTAACGTCGAATCTCCAACCTTTCAGTTAGCAGCCCAGCACTTTTATTAACCACTGTGCCACCAGGGCTCCTATGCGAGACAGATAGTGGTCCTTAATTGTCATCCTTCACAATTTGGTGAAGTCTTCCGAAATCCCCAGTTTATACTACCTATCTATGAATTGGAATCGACTCATTGGCAATGGGTATCCAGTGCATGTCTCTATTACAATATGTACCTCATTATGTTATATTTATGTTTAGATAGCTGTCTTCCCAGCAGACCATGAACTCCTAGAAGCAGAGTCAGTCAGTCTGCAATGTGGCAGCACCTCGCACAGCATGAACTCTCAGTGAGTGTTGAATGAATAGATAAATTGATGAATAAATGAAAGGTTCTCAATTCAAATTTCAAAATCTGGTAAACTCTGGTCCCAATCTACCCTTCTCTCTGAAGGATGATCAGCTTTGAATTTTACAAACAGTGCTCAATTTGACAGTTTCTGAACAAGAGTAAAACAAGATTTTGTCCAAATCTTGGAGAGACATTAGTTTTGAATGATAAAATCAAGGTGAGATATAAAATAAGGTTGTGTCAATGCTAATGGATAGGGTTGAGCTAAAGTCATTTTGAGAAAACACTGCAGGGGCTAGGGGACCCAGCATTACTCCTTTAAATTACCTTTACAGATCATCTTTTCTGTACAGTGAAATTCACCTCTTAACAATTATATTATGTTTTTATGTATGGCTCAACAATGTCCTAATGTCCCGCTATACATCAGCCTTTTCCTGAAATGTAACATCCCATGTGAACGGAGGGTGCTTAGGCGCCATCTCTTCAAGGAATTTGTTTCTGTACCAAAAATACTTTATTTTTCATTATGAAACTCTGAGTTAACATGACCCTTAAAAGGTCACTACAAGACTTGCTAATCCACAAAGTTAAGTAGGTTGAAGTGTTTTAAACATCTAGATTCATTTAACAAGAGCAGATGTTTATGCTGACTGTGGCAGCCAAGATTTCCTCCTTTGTTTCAGCAACAACCATCACACAGTTCAACGTAATGCAGTTATTTTTTTGGCACTATACCAGAGGAAGTTGCATTTCAGAAAGATGAGGTGCCAGTGTCTTAGATTTACCTCTGATAAACATTTAGTATACATCAGGATGTAAAACTATTAAAAAGCACATGTGTCTTTAAAAGCGACCTGAGAGTCTCAGGAGCTGTATTAAAAGAAAGGGGTTTCTCCTCCTATTTAATACTTTGAAAGTTACTACAGTGATTATTTTTTTCACAAGGAAAAAACATTAAAAAGTAAAGGCTTTGTTTAACCTTAAATAACTCAGAGCCTCCTGCAAGAGACAATCATTCTAAGGAGAAATTATAAATTGATTTGCCATTGTTGTTGCTGTTAGGTGCCCTTATGCATAACTCTATGCACAACAGACATTCACACAATTTATATTCTTTTGCAGCTTATGAATCTTTTCATATGGATCCACATTTAATGTTTAAACTCCTTGTGCAAAACCAAGATTACAGCCAGATGGAAGTCAGCTTTACCATCTCCTAACATCTGGCTCTCAACACACTGCCAAAACAATGTCACTTTTAATATCGACTGAGACCTGAGAACTCAGAGTCCTAGTCCAGGCTCTAATGTAGGCTTGTGGTATGATCTAAAAGCCACATTATCATCTTCCTGAATAACAGCTATTTATACCATAAGCAGATCAAATGGATTAGCATGTGCATAAAGTGTATTTGAAAAGTACAGTTATGAAAGTACATATTTAACCTATATTCCAAACAAATTTACTGCTAAGTCCTTTCTGGAAAAAGAAAAGTTCATAAATATAGAACTGTATTGAATCACAGATTCTACTAGGAAAACCTAGAATGACTGCATGGTCATTCTGGGCCTACCTGGGAGCCACAGAGAGCAACTTCCAGAAAAACACCACACTGCTACTGCAGATGCCTTTAAAGACAAATTCCTAGAAAAGTACATTTATGTGTTTGGGAGGGAGGGGAAAAAGGGTAAGGAAGCACTGTGGCTCTTCCCAGCTATTAACAGTACCATTTTCATTAGAATTTGACTTCTCACCCTCTCTCTTACACATACAACGCCCACACACACGCATACTTACATTTACACCCTATTTATCAGTCTTTCATTATATTTCTAGATTTAAATAGTTTCGGACCTAGAGAGCCGTCATATACCATAAAATGCAGTGTTTTATAATTTATCGTCAAAATGTTCTATCTGCTGAGATAATCTCTTCGAACAATGATTATTTTACTTCTTGACCATTATTCCCATTTTCAAAAGCATTTCATGCCAGTGAACACTACATACTTACCATTTTCAAGAATGACATTCACAGCCACGGTTGTCAGATCTTTCGTACACGCAGCCTGAGTGTCCTCAGTAGGAACAATGAATGTGCTAAGTCCAGTTATTTTGTTGATGTAAACCATTCTTCCCAGGGCTACATCAAAATGCTGCTGCCAATCCACAGAACATGTGTTTGATTCTTCATTTTCAGAACAAGCTCTTGCTTTAGATTCCTCACTCTGAACACAAGTTTCATTTTGGTCAGCTGTGGAATCGTCTACGTGGCTCATTAACATTCTACTGGGAGAGTCAATATTTCCTATCTGTGATTCTGAAGATATAAGATCATCTGAGTCTTTACTGATAACTTTAGGAGAATTATTAGAGGGTAATACCAAAGGAGTTTCTGGTATCACATAGCTCCCTGTTGTACTGTTGCCATAACATGTTTCTCTATCTTTATTACAGGAATTATCCTGTGCGACAGAGTCTGACATTGGGATTATGCTTTCTGTTTTTTTATGCTCATTTTTAAATAATTTGCAAGAATCTAGGGTTAATCTGTCTTTCCTACTGGAATCTGATTGTGGAAGTTCATTAAAATGACTCATACTCTCCATTGTTTCAGTCTCTCTTTCAGAGCCCTTCATTCTGGACAATTTGGAGGCTAGTGACTCAGGTGACTTCTCAACATTCAAAGAGTCTCTGTCAAAGTGAGATAACTCTGTTAGAGTTATAGGACTTCCTGTCAAACAAGGCATCTCTTGTTCCAAACAATCTTCTTCCTTGGAGAATGGAAACTTCTCTGAGTAAAGAATGTGACTTACTGGTTGACAACTACCATTTGAATCATTATGTTTCACAGTGATTTTACAAACATTAGAGTTATCTAAGTGGTTCTTGCCTTCCAGTGGAATGTCAGGTTCAACTTGAGGACTAAAATCGGTAGTGATTTCAAAATTATTTCCCTCTGCTTCTGTATTCAAAGGATTTTTAACTTTCCCGTACTGCCTCTTAAACTTCTCTAAGGATCCTAGTTGTGAATCCAAGCTTAACTTCTTTTGGGCTATGGGTTTGGAGGAACCAATCAATTTACCTGTTTTCTTACTACCATTTAAAACATGTCTATACCAAGGAAAAGAAGAGGAGGTATCAGGTAATAAGTAATTTGTGTGTGATTTTTTACTACCTTCCTGAAAAACAGCCAAATTTTTATAAGTTCCTACATGTTTGTTCTCTAGTCTATAATTTATATTTGTTCTGCAAAATACTTCGTTGGGCAGTTGAGCAGATTCTTTACTTAAAGTACTGGTTAAATCTTGAATGTTTGGAATCTCAACTGAATGGTATGTCCTATTTCCAAATGTTTCTTTGGCACTCACAGTACCAGGCTGAATACAATTTTTAAATGAATGTTCTGTTCCAGTTGATTTAGTCTGCTCATTTTGTGCCACATGAGTTATAAAGCCAGTGGAGCATAATTTAACTTGTCCATAACTAAAAATGTTTTTGCTTCCACAATTACTAGGCTCTTTTTTTCTTTTCTCTTCTTCTCCTCTCTGAGTACCATTTGCTCTCAATAATATTGCCTCAAAAGGCAGAGGTTGGCATCCCACTTCAGTAGCATCTTTCAATCTCTCTAGTTGACTCTGAATTACATTATTTTTCAGGATGTTGGCAGCCATGCCATCAACAGTGGCGGTACTTACTTTCTGTATTTCTAGATCTTTCCCACTATTCTCAAAGTGATGTGGTGCCTGAAAAGGGCTTGCAAACAACACTGAACTGGCTCTACATGGATTTTCTGGAGAGTTAAGCTCCAAGCAAGTTTTTTTATGTTTCTCATTTTCTTCTGATTCTGATGCTTTAACTGTCTCCTGTTCTACGAGCCTTGACTCTGAGCAACAGTTATCTTTCTTTTGTAAAGACAGCCCCATAATTTTACTATTGCCTGGGCCATCTGGTTCACAGCTGGGCAAAAACAAATCATTTGTCTTTTTTCTGATCACTTCTGAACCCCTAGAATTGTGTGTCTTTGTTTCTTCCATAGTAGCTTTTCTTTTCACAGCTTTTGATTGCATATTAACCATTTCATAGGAATCCAAAATATTATTACATGCTTCCTGGAAACTGATCTGGTCACACTTCTCATCAGAGGACACATGCTTCTGAAGAGTAGCAGCAAATAAACTAAAATCATTATCTTCACTAAATTCCTTAATGTCCTCACCTGATAATTCCACAAATAATTTTTCTTGCTTTAAAAACATTTTCACTCCTTCCTGAATGCAAACCAAGAGAGTATCCCAGTTCTGAAACTCAATCAGAGTTTTTGCTGGCTCCATGCACACATCATACTCACAGAATTGGCACTGCACATTGATTACATATATCCCATGGAGTTCAGGGTTAGACCGATGCCGAGAACTTGAATTCATTTGCCTACTGGCAGAGCCATTCTTTGGCTTGCATATGATACTTTCTTTCCTTAATAAAAAGTCAATGAGTTTATGCAATTTTGTCCTTAAAATCAGTCTTTTGTTCACAAACAAAAACTGCATATTCTTATTGTAATGTGCTTCAGAGCTGATATACCCACTAAGCTCAAACCCCTTATATTTAAATTTTATTTCTTTTAACTTTTGGGACCTACCCAGTCCATAAATTTGACAAAATCGGGAACATATGTCTTTGGTTTTAGGGAGCTGAAGAACCATGGAACCAGAAACATCATTTCTCAAAGAGAAAGAAATGGAAGGATGCATGAGTGACAGAGCTTCTATTCTCTGCCTAACCTTCTCAAACTCCAGTCTAGGTTCCATGCATTTTCTCCTTACAGGTAACTGGTAAAATAGGTTATATACTGTTACTGTTGTCCCAGCACTTGGTCTAGTCAAGTCAGCTTCACAAGCTTCCAAGGCTTTTCCATTCTGAAACAGTTTCACAAAAGTTTTCATCATCCTGTTTTTCTTGGATGAAATTTCCACAGCACTGGCTATGTCAGCTATACTTGCCAAGGCCTCCCCTCGGAAACCATAAAACCTTGGGTTTTCCAAGTCCTGTACAGAGTTGCATTTACTAGTAAAATAACGATTTCCCACCTTGTCTACATCATCACTCCCCATCCCAAATCCATTGTCTATCACTTGAACTTGGAAGGTTTCCATGTTCACCCTGACAGCCACACATTTTGCTTCAGCATCAATACTGTTAAGGGTAAGTTCCTCAACACATTGGCCTAAGGAGCTTATGGCCAAACCAGAACGCAATTTGGCTTGCACTTCATCTGACAAGCACTTGATCATGGCCAGTAGAAAGCTGGTGAGAATGCCAGATGGTGGTTTCCTTTTCTGACTGGAAATAATTGCCTATGGGAAAAAACACACACACACACAAAGTTATACAGCATTACCCATTTTTTCTCAAGCATTATAAAGAAATATCATTTGAGGTAAATAAAATTTCTTTTGTTAAAATGAATTGTAAAACGAACAAACAAAAAATTATACTTCTGATCTCTAGGCAGATCACACAGTTCATGCCTGGTGCAATGGATTTAACCTCCAAAGCAGCATTCATAATTTCTTAATTTTCACTGCTTCTAAGTTCCACATGCCCTAAAGTGAAATCATAATCACATCTGAAGTTGACCCATAAAAACAGTATTTGAAATTCTAACCACTTCACCAAAAACAGATGCCTAAAAACTAAATTCAGCTAAGAAACATTAGCTAGAAATTATTCATGAAAAAAAAATTTCTAAGTTAGCTTCATAACATTTATACATTACACAATAACCATGATTTGTAGGAAACACTTAAAATGGAGTGTTAGGCATTGTAAGGAAGGTGGAGTAACATGACAAAACAAAAAGAAATCAAACTGTTATATCAAAGAGAGATGGACATTAAGAGATTATTATCATCATTTGTTTAAATGTAGTTGCCTCAGGGGAAAGAGCTGGGAATGGAAAGGAATGATGTAGGAAATTTCCTTTTCATTATAAGCCTTTCTGAACTACTGGATTTTTAACTCTTGAAACGTGTATTACTTTGATAAAACGTTTTGAGAAGGTCATTTTTGAAGGTCATATTAGTAGTAATTATTCTTTTGGTCTCTACAGATACTCCCACGGCCACAAACTACCTTGGCAATAATAATGATTGCAAGAGACTCTAATGCGATTAAAGGTCCCCCTCTCCTCTTCATAGATGAGAGGGAAGTATGGGCAGGACCTCTCGCAGGTGGTAGGACTGGTTTTTCTAACCCGGGAAAATCAGGGCTGTAATTCCAGATCTGATGATGATTTCTAAAATAGGGAATATCGCAGCTGGCAGCAAATGAGGGGTAAGTGTTTAGTAAGCTCCTGGGACAAACGGGACGGTTCCGTCTTGGTCCAGTGACAAGCAGGCCTCTGAGAAAATGTAGCCCCGTAGGCCCGAGGATAGACGCGCCACGGACCCCCCAAGGTGAGGCTCCACCCCTGTCCCAACCCCTCAACCCGCTGCCGGAAACACAGGTCTGCCCTAACGTGGGCGTCGGCGCGCAAAGAAGGGGGCAGAGGCCTCTGGAGCCCTAGCGCATCTGGGTCTGTAAAGCTGGCCGGCAGCGGTCACCACAGCCCTTTTGGCGTTATAAGGGCTCCCGGAGCCATCCTTTCGTCGCGTGCTTTCCCCCAAGTCACCTCGAATCTCGCTTCACCAGTCCTCAATACCAACCGCCTCCGACGCAGACGCGCGCAAGTAGGCTCGCGAGACACGTGCACGCGCGAACCCACGAGCATGCGCTTCTGAGGGGACTTGCGGAGAAACCTTCCGGCGCGACACCCCAGTGCGCATGCGCACCAGGTGTTACCGGTTTGAGAACTCATCCATCCCAGGGTCTCTTCACATTCGTACCACACCCTCCCCCCACACCCCTTTCGCCATTCTTAATCCTTATCTCCCTTTGGCATGGTGTGAAAGGCTGTTTCTACTTTCATTTTTGTTTTTTCTGTGTTTTCCCTTTCCCTTACTGTTTTTTCTTCTTTGCGTGTTTAACCAAAAACCAGTTACCATGGAGCAGATTTTGACTCATGGTGACCCTATGTGTGTCAGTGTAGAACTGTGTTCCATAGAGTTTTCAGTGGATCCCCAGCCTTTCTTCCCAGTGAATTGAACCTCCAGCCTTATGGTTAGCAGTCAAATGTGTACTACCATTTAATCCAATATATATTTTACTCTTGCTTATTGTATGTCTTCTTCCCACAAGCTATATGAAGGGTAGGGCTTTTGTCTATATTGTTTACTACTATATCCGCATGGCCAAGAACAGTGCCTGATGTGTGGTAGGCACTCAATGAGTGAATGGGTAAATCTAGATCCTTCGATCTTACAGAATTATAGCATCTCAGAGCTGGAAATGACTGAGAAGCTATATTGCTCAACTCTCTTAAATTACAGATGAAGACACCAAGACTCCCTTCATTGACTTTTTTGGTATCTTCCCAATGCTACTGCAGCTTCTTTTCTAACTGAATGAGAGTGGAACTCCAAGAGTTTGAGAATAGGTATTTTTTGAATTGTTAACCAGTCCTCAGTTTTTGCTTTCTGTATCATTTTTACTGAAACTGTATTTTTTTAAAAAATTGGGATTTATGACAAATTTGGCAAACCAGTAAACATCTGATATATACTTGTTTAAATGACAGAACAAACCAAATCAGGAGATTGCTAGGCTGATGAGACAAAATCCTGATCATTGCTTTATTTAAATTCCTTACCTGGAAGAAAAGAATGACAGCAGAACCTCCAGAAAGCTAAAAGTAATGAGTCCAAAACATAATTTAAACAGCTAACAAATTGAACTTGTGGCATCCGTTCTTATTACAAATGAAATTTCCTGAAGAAAACTACATGGGAATTATTTAAGGAAACAATTCAAGGTAAATGCTTTCTCTTTCCTTCAGATCACTTTAAGTTACCTCAAAATATTCTTCCTATAGATGTTTACTGAATAAACACCTCTTATTTCAAAAGAAAAAACTTCAGTGAAGAAAAAACAGTACCCTAAACAGAAGGCTGTAATATGTTTTTATTGGTTAGAATTATGTGTATGGTTGTAATCCATCATACATGTAATATACAATAACATTCAAATATCTGATACTAAAATAACTTACAAATTCTAATATTGAACACAGAATAGTTCTATCTGTTAACAATAAACAAAACCACTGAATGTATCTAGGAAAATTTAAATTAAGGCCATTATTTCACAATTTGGAAGTCTGAGTAATCCAACTTTAAGATGATTTTCTCATTGTTGAAGCTTGCTCTGTCAATGTGCGATTTGGGACTTCCTCTCGTCTCAAGCCACTTCTGCATATGACGCACTTTGGAGGTGGGACCTTGCAACTGTCCTTGCACCGTGCCCCGGTCAGTGTTCTGGACCCAGCCTACCAATCCCAACTTTTTACCCTCAGCCTAAGGAAAAGAAACAGAGAGATGCAGTGAGATTGAAGAAAACAAAATGAGACTACAATCTGTTGCCAGAATCTTGGCCTATAATCAAGCCACTGAAACTAACTTGATATTGTCCAGAACAGTCAAAACAGAAAGAGTAGCAAGGAGGATGTCATTGCTGATTTTAACATGAAGTCCTGGCCACTTGATTCCATTTCTTTCTTCTACCCTATGAGACCCAAAAACCAAACCAAACCCATTGCCATTGAGTCGACTCTGACTCAGAGTGACCCTATGAGACTCAGGCACTAGAATTTTTCACTATGTAGTCAACTTGGTTAAGTACTAAAGACTTAAGTCCAAAACAGATGCTTTCAAAATGATCCCCTAAGGCTGACTACTGTTAGGATACTGGGCTGTATCTTGCTCATTTTCCCTTCTCCTAATCAAGAATCTATTAGGTATGTTAAACAGAAAAAGCACGAAGTTATCTGATCCTTCCCTTTGTCTTTAACCAGGATCACACCTAAACAAATCCAGATGAATAAGTATCCATCATATCTTTAAAAATCATTAAAGAGAATTTCAGAATTTCCTGGCAACTCATTCAGTTGTTCTCATGGTAGAGAAACTTTCTAACCTGATGTTTTTGTGTTGCATACAATGCCCACTTTCTGTTACCCTCCTACAGAAGGAAAGCAGCTAGTCATCAGCCTCTGAACCCCAACTTTCATAAGTCCACCTAACTATTAGGTGTTCTCTTAACTTTCTTCTCTTCCATCTAAATAATCACAGTTCCTTTAAAGTTATGTAAGACTTATGAAGGCCATTGTCTTAGTTATCTAGTGCTGCTATAACAGAAATACCACAAGTAGATGGCTTTAACAAACAGAAATTTATTCTCTCACAGACTGGCTAGAAGTCTGAATTCAGGGTGCCAGCTCCAGAGGAAGGCTTTCTCTCTCTCTGTGCTTTTCTGGGGGAAGGTCCTTGTCATCAGTCTTCCCCTGGGTCTAGGAGTTTCTCTGCAAAAGGAACCCAGGTTCAAAGGACGTGTTCCACTCCTGGCTCTTCTTGCTTGGTGGTAATGAGGTCCCTCTCCTCTCTGCTTGCTTCTGTCTTTCATATCTCAAAAGAGATTGAGTCAAGATACAACCTAATCCTATAAATTGCGTCCTGCCTCATTAACATAACTGCCTCTAATCCTGCCTCATCAATATCATAGTGGTTCGGATTTACAACACAAAGAATAATTACATCAGATCACAGAATGGAGGACGACCACACAATACTGGGAATCATGGCCTAGCCAAGTTGACATACATTTTGAGGGGACACAATTCAATCCATAAAAGCCATCTAATCACTTTAGTGGCTCTTCTCCTAGCTTTCTCAATTTCTTTCGTTTAAGTGATTAAACTGTGGCAAGACTGCAAAAATTTACAGGAGATAGCAATGCTTTAGAGGGGTAATTTTATTGTTGTATAAATATACAATTAGGACATTATAAAAGTTATTGATTGTTAAAGTAATCTATCTAAATAAAAGGAGTTGGATTATAAAAGAAAATGGGAGTTTGAACAGAGTGCACATCCAAATGCCAGAGTAGTGACCTAGTAAATGTGGGAAATTGCTGAAGCTAGCCAAAGAAAATGTTATGCACAGCAAAACCATGTTTGATGAGGAACTGAAGTACCTATCAAATAAGCTATGTTCAAAGCAAAGACATGTTTACATAATGGAAAATACAGAATCTAGCCAAATAAATATCAGTTTAAAGGCTACAGAGGAAATTAAGGAATGAAGAAAAATAGGACATACCTACAGCATGCACTGCTAAATACCAAAAAAGATGGCTAAGAATGCAGAGAATAGATTTTGAGGAACATTCCACATCCGACTTTACAACTGCATTCTTTGGCTTCAAATTAACCAAGAGAAGTTGGCTATTTCTAGTTCTGAGTTATCATAGATGGTAACTAGCTATAAGAATGATTGCAGACGAGGGATGGGAGGGGTGGGGGTGGTAAATAGTAAATAGACAATAGATAAACAGTAACTTTGGTGAAGGGTAAGACAGTACACAGTATTGGGGAAGCCAGCACAACTTGTACAAGGTAAGGTCATGGAAGCTCCACAGACACATCCAAACTCCCTGAGGGACTGAATTGCTGGGCGGAGAGCTGGGGACCATGGTCTTGGGGAACATCTAGCTCAATTGGCATAACATAGTTTATAAAGACAATGTTCTACATTCTACCTTGGTGAGTAGCATCTGGGGTCTTAAAAGCCTGTGAGCAGCCATCTAATATACTCTACTGGTCTCACCCATTTGGGAGCAAGGGAGAATGAAGAAAACAAGAAACAAAGGAAAGATTAGTCCAAAGGACTAATGGACCACAACTACCATGGCCTCCACCAGACTGAGTCCAGTACAACTAGATGGTGCCCAGCTACCACCATTGACTGCTCTGACAGGGATCACAACAGAGGGTCCTGGACAGAGCTGGAGAAAAACATAGAACATAATTCTAACTCACAAAAAAAGACCAGACTTACTGGCCTGACAGGGATTGGAGAAACCCCAAGAGTATGGCCCCTGGACCCCCTTTTAGCTCAGTAATGAAATCACACCCGAGGTTCACCCTTCAGTCAGAGATTAGACGGCCCCATAAAACAAAACGAGACTAATGGGGCACATCAGCCCAGGGACAAGGACTAGAAGGCAGGAGGGGGGTTGATAACCAATGTCATAAAACAGTGTGTGTACTAACTGTTTAATGAGAAACTATTTGTTCTGTAAATCTTCATCCAAAGTACAATAAAAAAAATTAAAAAAAAAAATGATTGTGCCAAGTTTTGAATATGAGGTTACAACAGCCAAATAAATCTTTATTTTGAAATGTGATTTATCTGAACTCCTAAGGGTGAACAAAACACTCCAAAAATTAACAAGTATTGAGAATAGGAACTTCCTACAGGTTTTATTTGTGCAATTGATTCTGTTCTTATTTTTCAAATGATAGCACAATGTTGCTAATTCATGTTCAGTTTTGAATATCTATCTAAACAAGTAAGCAGTGTTTTTTTCCTAGAAAATTCTCCAAAGCTAATTTTCCCTAATAACCACATTTCTGCTTAAAAGTCATCTGACAAAATTTTAAGTACTCTAATCATCAACTCTAGTTGCAACATAAAAAGAAAGTCCCCTCAAATCAATAACCTAGCCTTCTACCTTAAGAAACCAGAAAAAGAGTAAACGAAACCCAAAGCAAGCAGAAGGAAGGAAATAATAAAGATTAGAGTGGAAATTAATGAAATAAAAAAGCAACAGAGAAAATCAATGAAGCCAAAAGTCAATTCTTTGAAAAGATCAACAAAATTGACAAATCTTTACCTGGACTAACCAAGGGAAAAAAGAAGACTCAGATTACCTAAAGTCAGAAATGAAACAGGGGACATTACTACTGACCTTAGAGAAATAAAGGACTATAAGAGAACACTAGGAACAGTTAAAGATAATTCAAAAACAGTGTAGAACAAGGGCTATCGTTGCTGATGTCAGATGGATCTTGGCTGAAAGCCGAGAATACCAGAAAGATGTTAACCTGTGTTTTATTGACTATGTAAAGGCATTTGACTGTGTGGATCATAACAAATTATGGATAGCGTTGCGAAGAATGGGAATTCCAGAACACTTTATTGTGCTGATGCGGAACCTGTACATAGACCAAGACGCAGTCGTTCGAACAGGATAAGGGGATTGTAAAAACAGCTTGGGAGCAGTGTCTGACCTCCTTCAACCCCACAAGGGGGAAGGAGAATCAAGATCAACAGCCCAAGGCCGATTCCCATTAGGCGGAGGTCAGACATGACTTCTCTCTCTGCCATCTTTACCAATTCCGACACCAACCGTCCCTCGCACAGCAATCTCTACTGGGTTGGATAATTCATTGCAATGGCCACACAGAACTCACAAACCACGCTCATAATTATGGGCTTTATTAGGGAAGTAACAGTTACAATTCAGGCTCAGGAACACTCAGGATGCAGTTCTTCCATCAGGACAGCCTCTTCCCAGCCGTGCTCGCAGGCATGCCTCTCCCTGGCCCTCAATCTCTGTACGAAGGCACTCAGCTCTCTCTGTGGGCTGGGAAGCCCACCATGCTGTCTCCTGCTGCCAGTCTCTCCTTCCTTGTTGGTGGTGGGCTCCTCCTCTCTGCTCTGGAATTGGCTCTCTTTTAAGGCAAAACTGACCAATCCCCTTTGTAGGCCACAATTACCCTATCACACAGTCCTGCCCAATCACCTGGGTGGGAGTTACAAGATCATGGCTAGAAAGGCCACACACAAAAGTAATTAATCACACCACAGGGATACTGTGTTGTTTAAAATCAGAAAAGGTGTGTGCCAGGGTTGTATCCTTTCACCATGCTTATTTGATCTGTATGCTGGGAAAATAATTTGGGAAGCTGGACTATATGAAGAAGAACGGAGCATCACAATTGAAGGAAGACTCATTAACAACCTGTTATAAGCAGATGGCCAACCTTGCTTGCTGAAAGTGAAGAGGATTTGAAGCACTTACTGATGAAGATCAAAGACTACAGCTTTCAGTATGGATTACACCTTAACATAAAGAAACAAAAATCTCACAACTGTACCAATAAGCAACAACATGATAAATGGAGAAAATATTGAAGTTGTCAAGGATTTTGTTTTATTTGGATCCACAATCAACACTCATGGAAGCAGCAGTCAAAAAAATCAAACAATGTATTGCACTGGGCAAATCTGCTATAAAAGTCCTCTCTAAAGTGTTAAATAGCAAAGATGTCACTTTGATACTAAAGTGCACCTGACCCAACCAAAACCAAACCCACTGCCGTCGAGTCAATTCCGACTCATAGCAACTCTATAGAACAGATTTTAACTGCCCCATAAGGTTCTCAAAGCTGTAATCTTTACAGAAGAAGACTGCCACATCTTTCTCCTGCAGAGCTGCTGGCAGGTTTGAACCG